TGCTAGGAGGGCTTCTGTACATCACTTGGATAGGGCGGTGTCTCGGGGTGGCACAGACAATCTTTGGTTCCCTGTCAGTCTCACCTTAGAAAAGTCCTGTTCTCGGAGAATTTCAGAAGATTGGTTGCAGGCGCGCGTACCTCTTTGGTAAAGGCACAAACTTTGGCTTCTGGCCAGACCCTCCTTAGAGAAAGCCAGCCACTGGGAGAGCTTCTGTGTTCAGCCACAGATGGGGCGGAGTCTCAAGTTGGTGCAGACAAACTTTGTTTTCCCTTAGGCTCCTCCCCAAGTCCCACAGTAATGGCCTCTGGCTTCACACACCTCTGAGAGATCTCTGCCCACTGCCTGACAATCTGGCCTCTCCCTGTCTGGGGCCGTCTATTAGAGCAATAGGGTGATTCTGTTTTCCTCCCAAACAAGAAAGCCAGCCATGCGTTAGCTGTCTGCCCTCTCCGCTCACCGGGAGTAAGCCAGTAGCGAACTCAGCCCGGCCCACCCTCCCAGCGCCAGGAGTAAGCCAGCAGCAATCTCGGTCCTTCCCTTCCTCTCCCCGTGCCAGGAGTAAGCCAGTGCTTTTTCGCACACACAGTTCTCCGTACCTTCACAGTTCCTGAGGTTCAGCGTGCCTTCTCTCTCCTTCCCAGATGGGAGAGCCTCCTCTCAGCTAGCCACCCGACACTTCAGGGCAATGCCTCCCCTGTTTTCCAGTTCTAAATTCAAATTTATTGTGGTAGGCTGCATTCGGGTGTCTAACCTATGCTGCCATCTTGGTTTCTCCTAAGAACATCTTTAAGTGGTTGGGTTCAGGCAGGTATTTAGATGAAGGTCCAAAATAACTGTTGAAACTTGTTACAAACACCAATGTTTCCAGTTTTAAATCCCAAAGTTACAAGTGCTTTAGATATGTATTGAGAAAGGGTCAAGTTGGTTTGTGCTAAAAAACCAAACTGGGCATTTTTTTCTCCCTTCAGGTTAATCTTTTCTTCTTTCTGGAGTCTCCAATTTCAAAACGTACCTTTTTCTTACAAGACGCTCATTGTTCTATGAATCAGCGTGTCACTGTCTCCATGAATAGGGTCCCATAAGGATTTAAGAGTTCCTTTCTCAGGACACTCTGGTGCTGGGAAAACCGGCAGTAAGCTCCAAGGCGGTGGATGCTGCCCACTGGGCTCAGGTTACAGTGGCCGAGGCAGCCGGAGCACCTGTGGAGCTGCAATCTTTTAAGAACTCCGTGCAGTAACAGAGGCGCCCTGTGAGCCTAGAAAAGGGAAAATAACGTGTTTTCCTAAGAATGCACAGAGGTGAGTGTGTGTCCTGGGACACCTGAAAAATAACGACTGCCTTTTATTTCAACTTAACTCGTGGCACTCAAATCTGCAATTATCTCTCCCACATCTTAAGGGGTTAGAAACAAATGACAAGCAGGTTAATTTAGACTCTAGGATTTTGTCTTCATTACTGTCAGCATCAGTTCATGACAAATTAAAGAGCAGAGCCTGGCCCTAACCGGTTTGGCTCAGTGGATAGAGCGTCCGCCTGTGCACTAAAGGGCTCCAGGTTCAATTCTGGTCAAGGGCATGAACCTTGGTTGCAGGCACATCCCCAATAGGGGGTGTGCAGGAGGCAGCTGATCAATGTTTCTCATCGATGTTTCTAACTCTCTATCCCTCTCCTTTCCTCTCTGTAAAAAAGAAAAAAGAAAAGAAAAAAAAGAAAAAAAAAGAAGAGCCCATGTCCCAGGATTTTCATGGAGTTCTCTTTGGTCCTGGTCTCCCACCACCTGGGTGTTGTAGCAGCCCCCAGATGTCTGGTGGGACACTGCTGGACACTGCCTTTCACCTAAGTTAGGAAAAAGTCTGAACACTATATATGACTGACTTTTTGTTGTCATTTTTAAATTTAGGAGGTAGGCTTCACACTACAGAGACTTGTGACTATAACAAGTTCAAAGCTGAATACAAAAAACTCTCTATGTGATTGCATTTGGGAACATCCTTTTCTGTTTTTAGTTCTTGGTCCAAAAAAGGGGATAGCAAGAACTGATTCAAGAACATCTTCTTTTGAGACTTTTTAATTATATAAACAGAAAGCTTTCCTTTTAAAAATAAAGCTTCGCCAAAGCTGGTTTGGCTCAGTGGATAAAGCGTCGGTCTGTGGACTGAGGGGTCCCAGCTTCGATTCTGGTCAAGGGCATGTACATTGGTTGTGGGCACATCCCCAGTAGGGGGTGTGCAGGAGGCAGCTGATCAATGTTTCTGGCTCTGTATCCTCCCTTCCTCTCTGTAAAAAAAAATCAATAAAATATATTAAAAAAAATAAAGCTTCATCATGTAATTAGTTGTTTTTTCCAATATAGTTCTAACGCTTGAATATTGTAATAATAATAAAAAAGTATTGGCTAGCACAGGATAATTTAATAGAAGATAGCCTCTTGCCCTTACCTAACCCTAAAGGTATTTTTATGAAGCTAGTTTTCATTTTAGGGGGTTCCCTAGAAACACAAGGCTTTATTTTTATTACAATAAAATGTGTCCAAATAACTATAAATAAATGGGATGACAATGGAAATAATGTACTTTGGAAATTAACTGTTAAACACATGCTTATACTTAATTATCCAATAAACTATATCTTAAAACCAGTTCGCTCTCCCATATCATAATGACAAATGACAATGCCATTGACCTCACACTAATAAAGGGAATGGCAATGTGTCCAGAACTGTATTTGTATTTTCATAGTTTACTTAAACATTATATAGCTGCTGTTTACCCCACCTCTATTTTGTAAAATCCAAAGAAGTTTTAGGCTTTTTCCCCTCTACTTTTTCTTGGCAGTCTTTATAAGACACTTCTGTCCAAAAGTTAGATTTAATTCTTGATATTTCAGAAAGGCTATTTGTAAACAACTGAGATTTTTCTGAAAAGATCCTATAATAGCATTTTTTAGGTAAGTCTTTCATATTAAGCTACTTTACTATTTCATGGATGGCAGGCACTGCCATGTGCTCTAAAAATTTGTTTAAGCACCATGACCATGAATAACACATCCTGTCCTTTCCGCTGCAGATGCCCCACCAATGTTGGTCAGTCTGGGACTTTGACACTCACCACAGTCCTGCCTGGCCCTCCATGATACATCACCAGACAGAACACGGATCGGAGGAACTGACGGAAGCGCGAGAAGAATCCCTCTCCCAGTCACTAACCTCTGCACTCAGTTTTCCATTCGTCAAACACACAGTACAACAGTACTTATGGCATCTACTGCTGTGAGGATTAAAGGAGATAATAAATATCGTATGTTGGGAACAGCGTCTGGGACACAGTAAACCCTCAATGGATGTTGGCTGTGACTATTGTTGTTTAAGATGCAGGGACAGGAGACACACAAATGTGAACCATCAGATTTGAAACTAATGGCAGAGTATTAAAGACAAACGACTGCTGTTTTAAAACCTGAATTAGACCGTCTGTATTCTAAAACACACACACAAACACACAATCTGTACCAATTAAATACGATCAAGTTGAAAGGGGATATAAATTACAGCTTTTCTTTTCCAAAACAGACAATAGTAAAATACTACAGTCAGCTCACTATACACAAAAATCATGAACAGCAGCTTTTCATTAAAATCTCCAATATCTTACTGATGCTAAGAACTTAAAGAATGAAGGTGCAGAGAGGGCTGTGCACCATCCCTCGCTCTCACACACACAGACTCTGTCCTCCAGGCCAGCTGCACAGGCATCTTCAGAACAGGCACCCAGAGCACCTTTGTAAGACCTTCTGCACACACGAGCCTCTCCATGTCTCCATGAACAGGAGGATTTTCCACGTGGAGACAGCTGACAGCAGGGCCATCGGTATTCAGCCATCTCCCGCAAACACGGCGAAGTGAGTACCTGTGCACTGTACAGCTCATTCCAACTCTTCAGCATTTTCCAGAATTAAGTACAATAGCAACAGTAAAAACCATACCACAACGAACCCTACCAATCCAAACAAAACCACAGAGAGACAAGAATCCACAACCCGCCCCCACCCCAATCCAACTCTAGGTACGCCCTTGTGTTTCTACAGTAATACTGCTTTCCGCACTCTGCCTGTCTTGCTGGAGGCAGAGCCCCAGTCACTGCCAATGGCTATAATACAATGTCAAATCAGCAGGCGGCAGGCCAGGTGGGAGACCGGAGAACACGGCGGTGGGAGTCTGCAGTGTGCTCATGAAACAGGCCAGGGCGGCGGCACGTGGCCTGGTAGCCAAGGGGAATATGGCACCAAACTTGCAGTCAGACATATATGTACACAGAAAACAAGAGTGGACAGCAAAATCGGTCGGTCATATAGAAGTTCTTTGGTTATAAAGAACGGCATTCTGTAACCTTTTCTGCAGAGGGATCTGCAACCTCATTCTCAGGCAATGAAATGTCTCTCACCTGCTCGTGTATACGAGGTCGCCCAAGGTGCTTTGTAACAAAGTCCAGTACCTTATGATTTCTACAAACCATTTTATCTGCATTCTAGTGTGTTCTGGCTGTCCCAGAACAGACATACAATAGATACATTTCATATACATAATATATATTATTTATAAAAAAAAAAAACAAAAAACACCCCACATTAAGAGTATTGACTCCAGATTCTACAGTAAGAACTGATTAAAATTGTACAAGAATAAGTCTGTTTGACTCCGTGGAGGTTTCTACACAGTGCAGTGTGTAGTAAGTGCAAACAAAAATACTGCCACTTAATTAATCCGGGATTTTCGGGGTTCTGGCCTTGTGGAAGAAGCAGAAACTGTCGGTTCACCCAGGTGGCAAAGCACTGCTGCTGCTCCTCGCTCGGGAGGGGAGAGGTGGTGGCCCAGGTGGTGCCTGGCTTCCCCTGCTGGTGTGAGGTCGCTGGGTGCAGCATATGTTGAAGATGAGGCTGGTGCTTTGAGGGAGACCCTGGACGAAGATGCTGGGGCCTGCGGAGGAAGTGCTTGCTGTCTTTCACCGCGGAGTGGAGGTCGTGCTCCCCTGGAATTCAGAGGCTAGTGAGTTCAAGTTCCAGTTTCCACCTGCCCTCCCCACCCACAGGGACCACCCTCAGCCAGACGCACCCACCCCACACAAGGGGCTCTTCCTAAAGGGGCCCTCAGGATTTGGTTTATGATGAAATCCAGTTCTAAAATTTACAGTATACCAGGGAGAAACCTGGCCCCAAGGTGAAGCTTCCTAGAAAGGTAATGGAAAGCAAGACCCAAAGTTAAAAGTAAAAAATTGTTGTTTCTGGGCTCACACGCTAAGTCATATTCAGGTAAGAACAAAAGTCAAACTTTAGTACTTAAAAAGTTCTCAAACTGTTACAATGGCAAAGCAACTTACAAAAATAGTAGAGCAATGAAGGAAGAAAAAAAATCACCATAATCCTACATCACCCTCATACAACAAATATTTTCCTGAATTCCACCTTTAAACCAAGTATCTGGCAGGGACACAGTTCAGGAGACTTTCAAAAGCAAAACACGAGGCATGCTTCCTGTTTGCTGGGCAGTGTCCCTCTTCCCTCTCCTATGGGCTGTGTCTCCCGGCGCAGCCCTCAGACCCCTGCTGTTAGTTCTTCAGTGGAGGGCTTTGTGAAAACTTATCCTCTAGGACCCATCCCAACGAAAGGAATGTCTTAGGTGTGGGGGGGCAGTGGCTCCTGGGAATCTGAGTGTTCAAGAGGCGCCCTCTCCCAGCACCCCCGCGGGAGTGTAGGTTCAGAAGCACTGCTCCTGGGAAGAACTACCCTGGGCTTCTTGTCCAAGCCCTTCTTGGAAGAGGGACTGGAACGCTGAGGTAGGCCAGCAATGCAGATTCTGCTTGAAGGTCAGTGTAAAGGATGTTGAAGACTTTTGATGCAACAAGTGTTTGGTTTGTAACTGCAGTTATGAGTAACTTTATTCTTCTTCTTAAGTTGGGGAGAGAGGTTCCAAACTTCAGTTGCTCAAGCAATTCACCTGTACTTCCCCAAAGCACCTTTTACCCTATGGGCAGCACCTAAGTGATTGCATTTCAACAATTCTACGATGCACGTTATTTTCCCCAACATTTAACATCTCTGAAACTGGATTGTGTTTTACAACTTCTGATATGATGCAGTTTAATTGGAAGCATTTCTTCTTAATGCTATATAAAATAATGGTGTATCTAATAAGCCAAGAAATCACTAATTTGATGAAATATGGCAGACATTACCAGAATTGAACATCTCAGAAAATGAATGAGGTTGACTGACCCTTATCCACATGAATGCTTCCTTCAAAAAACCCCACATGCCAGCTGAAAAAGCCACTGCTCCAATATATTTCCTAGTTCTACTCTGAAATTAGGCAAGCAAACTTTTCCCCACACACAGACGCTGAGCAACATGTGCGCTTGCTCTCCAGGGCGGGGGGCCCTTCTTCCCTGTCAGAAATGTCAAAGAGAATCTCTCTGACTAAGTCACCCAGGTGTACGGCCTCTGGGGGTTGGTGCACAATCAGGTGTGTCACTTACAGCATAAAACCCAAAGGAATGCCTCCAGAATTTATTACCTGGTCATTCTCTGCCAAGGAATGCGGCTGGCCAGGGTCCCGGGGCTCATCTGAGACACTCTCATTGTCCGTTTCATTTGGAAGGTTCTTCCTACTTGCAATCTCTCCAGCAGCAGAATCTGTCAGAGCATCGAAATCATTCCCATCTGACGCTCCCATGAACTCTGTGAAAGAGTGATCCTCGAGGACGTTTGTGGTGTGCTCCACGGTCACCTCCCCGGGACAGAACTCCCGGGTGGCGTGGCCATTCTTGCTGGAGCAGGCATCTTGTTCTGAACATGAGCCAGTCCTACAGGGCATTTTGGAGTTTTTCTCAGGGATACTTTGGGACGATGGGCTCCCTTTGGCTAAGGCACTGTTTTCCTTGAGTGGCACCATAATGATCTTATCCTTTACCAAGCCTTTTTCTAGCTCTGTCGACTCTTTGTTTGAGGGAGGTCTGAGATCATGCCCAAGCGATAGTCCAGAATGCTCACTGGAGTCTGTGTCTTTCGTCGGAAGGGCTAGCTGATCTGAGCTGTCACTAGAGGAGACCACCAGGTCGGACAGGGTGGCATTGGAGGCACTGTGGGAAAAGTAGCCACTGGTAATACTGCTGGTGGTAGGGCTACGGGATACTTCTTTCTCCAAGACCCTGGAGTTCGTCAAATCCACTTTAGAAGAAAAACACTCTCTGTTTTCCAAGCTGGCATTGTAAACACTGAAGTCAGCAAACTCCACTGGTACATAAGGCTGTGAGCCTGCCAGCTTCCTGTTAAGAGCTTCCAGGTCACTGTCCTCCTCCTCAGAGTCCTACAGAAGTGAAGCAGAAGTCAGCCATTAGCTCCCTAGAGCAGCTGTACTGTTCAGATAGGTTTTTAATACTTTACTACTACAGGCATTCATGCTTAGTGTTGTTTGTTTTTCTTTTCTTTTGAGTTTGGCTAAATCTTGCCACCAGTTATGGACACAGGCACCTTGTTCTCAGAAATTTGTGAAGACAAACCCATTATCTCCTAATGTGAAGATTTATTTCTTTTATGCTCACGCCATGCTAATTAAAAACTTTTGTTTCCCTCGTTTAAGATAAAGGTTGGACCAAAGTGCAGCGGACTTGAATTAATTACTTGTGATTGGTCTTCAGCTGGATGTTGTCCCTTCTCTAATAAGAGGAGAGAGGAAGAGGAATAGGAAGGGAGGAGTTGCTGCTCTACTTGTTCTTACAATCCTCACCTTGGGAAGACAGTGTAGACAAACTGCAAGGTGATTTGTGAAAGATTTCTGAGCTATTTTACGGCAGAGAGGGCAGTAAAATAAGGTGCCAACAGCAAAAGGGCTAAGAACACAATCTCAACACGCATGCTTAGCACTATACTAAATCCTGGAAGGTTGTGAAGCACTAGCATTACCTTCGCAGGGGCTTGGGGAAGCATGGAGAGAGGATTTGGCTAGAAGGTGAGGAAGATAAGATTTAAACAGAAATCCCCTTTGTCAAATAGCTTTAAAATTCTGTTTACAAAGATTGGTAAATATGCAAAAGTGGGTGTTATCAACTCCCCAGTCTCTCTCCCCAATGAATGATTCTTTTATATTCTGTGGAAAACAATATGAGTACATTACATTCAAATAAAAACAAATGACATTACTATCAAGTCCTTTCTAATTAACCTTACAAACATTTGGTAACATTGCAAATATTCCTTTCCTCTTTTAAAATATGACTTTCATTCAACATTCATCTAGCACCCTCTATGTGCCAGCCATTGTCCCAAGAACTGGGAATGCCAATGTTGAGCAACAATCTTGGACACTGCCAGATGAATGGAAATCTCCTGGAACCAAAAATCAACTGTACTGTTCAGAGAGACACTCGGAGGGGATGAGAGGAGTGGAAAGGGGCAGAGAGAGAGGGTGAAGAGGAGGGGGAGGAGGACTACACCCCCTGATAGAGCAGATGGTAGTTCACAAATCAACATAAATTTTATCCACTGAATTTTACTGTAATATTTTCTTTTCCATCTCATTAGATGCTAAATTCCTCAAACTAGCTTAATATTCTTCAGCACTTTTTAGTTTTAAAAATAACTTGGATATAAATTATTTAAAGCATCAGTGGTCTTAATTCCTTGGCTATTAATTAAAGGTGGACATCAAATATCAGTGATAAAGTTCCAGAAATCTGCAATACATTTTTTGGCAACACTGATCTCGTGCCATCTTATCTTTAGCTGAATTCTAAATTAAGTGGCACTGCTAACCAATGTGTGGAGTAGAGTGTTCTTTCTCCAGGGTTGGGGGATTGTTTGTAAAGGAACAAAGATTGGGAATAAATGTCTGGGTCAGTAGCCTTTGGCAGTATTTTCTAGATTCTTCACTTGACTAGGTATTCAGATACAAGTGTTTGCATCTCCCAAATTTTCTTTTAATTTAAGCAAAGAAACATAACTCCCCCAAGCACAAGTTTCCTTACTAAAGAGATAGTTGTTGTTTTGAGATAAATCAAATTTGGGGCCCTTTTTATGCCTGAAGTTATTTCTTCTGGAGACTGAGGAAAGGCCTGTCATCCTATAACACATGTAAAACAAATGAAATATTCAATAACAAATCAAACATGTAGAAACAGGTGTACATTTGCCAAACTCACAAAGATAAAAAAATTAGTCGTAAAGGATTAGAATGACCTTTAGTAAAACTGCAGAGTGTACAAAAACCCCAAGATGTTAAGTTCAAATAGAGATAAGTACATAGTTTTGCACTGGGGGTGGGGCTAGGGTGGGGAGAAGGGCTAAAGCAGCAGAGACAACTAATTCCAGAAAAAAGAAAACAGAGTATGAAGAAAATATTTCTTAACACATAAAAGGAGACTGAAAGTTTATCAAGTTATTGTCTTCAAAAAGAAAAGAAAGGACTTAATTGTCTTAAACTGTATGTTAAGAGAATTTGGTTACGTAGACTTTTTATTCCAGAAATATTCTTTACTAGTATCATTGCAGCTTAAAGACCAAATTAAGCACCACCTTCCTACTATGTCTTAAAGGCAAAAAGAATGAAAACTAGTCTTAAAAGTGGATCATGGAATCAAGTTCTCAAGCTTTCCTATAGCTACAGTCTTCATGATTTGATTTTTGCAATTTATTTTATGCAACTGAAATGTATATATAGAAAAAATATCTTGATTCTAAGAAGGACTCAAAACCCACATAAAGCAGTGACTCTACAAGGTGTTTCACTTGTTAAACTCATTTTCATTCCCATATACTTGGCTCTGTATTGTTCATCAGGTCTCGATCTTCAGAAAGATTGTACCACCAAGGACTCCCAGTATTTCTGTCCGTGGTGCTAAGGGATGGGCAGACCTTTTAGAAAGTGCAGCAGAGGAGTGACTGAAATTGCACTATCTCTAGGGTTACAGGGCCAGCCCAATTCTGCTGAGGGACAGAGACTTTGTTCCAACATCTCATTAACTGTGAGGCCTTGGACAAGTCACTCAACAAGTCTTTATGAAAAATGGGAGAAATAAGCTACATGCTGTGTATACAAGACCTAAGAGAGGGAGAAATGACTTCCTTGTTGCTCTTTTCTCTGTTTCATGACTTAGACACCAAATGCATATGGTTGCCTTTATCTTATTCACATGACACAAAGTACTTGTCTTATATGATAACAAAATATTGCTTTAAAGGACCAAGTATAGCTATACTCACTATATTTTTGTGTGTGAAATTATAGGTTACTTTGGTAAATAAATGGGCTACAAAATAAAAGGAATAATGTCTCAATATTGCTTCTCAAAAATGATTTCAAACTCCCTTGATGAGACTGAACCATTGATTCAGTCTCTCATTTCTCAAGAGTGGAAAAAGAAAGTGGATTAGGAGCAAAGGAAGAAAGCAGTATATATCCACTTATAAGGGGAGTATAAACTCTTCCTAAGAAGAAACTAGAATCTCAGATCAAGCAAGTAATATCTGTAAAGTCCACCAAAACACCCTGGAAAAGCTGTTATCTGAAATAAAATAAATAGTTCAATAGCTTCAGAGGAGAGCAGAGGCCCATCTCTCAAGTAAGATGGTACCATCGAGTCCTGCTCAGTGGAGCAGAGGCTTGCTGCTGTTGGAGACTTCCCAGGTCAAGAGAATCTGGTTCCAGTCTATTGCTGCTAGCCAGAAGTCCTGAGGTAAGTTTTATTTTAAAACATTAAAGTACAGAAAATAACATTTGGCAGACTCTGAATACAGTGGAACTATCTGCTGGGCAGCCCAGAAGGGTCATTCAGTTGCCTTTTAATTAAGGTGACCGAAGTCCCGCTTTTGGCGGGACAGTTCCCGCATCCCGTGGTGTTTTAAAAAAAATCCTGATTTTTGAAAAGATTCAAATCAGGACTTTTTTAAAACGCTGTGGGACGCGGGACAAATTGTTAAAAATTGGGACTGTCCCACCAAAAGCGGGACATCTGGTCACCTTACTTTTAATGTGTTCTACCCAATCCTACCTGTTGTTAAAATGAGTTTCAATGTAGTGCCTGTGCACCATGGGGTTAAGGGTCATGTCCACAAACAGATCCAATCAGCCATAGAGCCAATAAATTTGAGGGTAACAAAGCCACCTGGCCTTTCTAGCCTGAGCTGCAGCCCTTATTAATTATGCAGAGGATGGGCAACCAAGTGACTGAGCAGCTCATTAAGATTCAGAGGAGCAGCTGCAGTTGTGCACTTTCCTCTGCCACAGGAATTAGATGGGGATTTGGGGCTAGAGGGACAGGGAGAACACAGCAGCAAAGGCAGCAGAGGAGGACAGAAAGGAGAGGGGGAAATGGTGCCTCTTCTCCTTCCCTCAGTGCACAGGAGGAATGAGAAGGTCATTTCCTAAGATCCCCTAGCACTCCAAGCATGCAGCAGAGCGGCCAACTGCATAGCCCGACTAGTTAGTTTCACACGGTGAGCATTAGCAGCATATTCCAGAACTGTTGACGGGCCCCCCATAATGAGCCTCTGGAATGGCTCTCCCCTTGTGCAGCTGGGAAGGGAAACTGCCCACACTCTGCCCACAGAGCAGCCCGCACACAAATGTCACCCTCAAGCAGCCCCTCTTGCTCAAGCTGCTTTACTTTTTTCAAAGTCTAGGAAAAGCTGCTTCAGAGTGAAAGCCTAGACACACAATTAAAGAATTCTTTCCAGGTCTGTCAATCCAGTTGTTTTTTAAATAGAAGTTTCATTTATAATCCAAAGTACCTGGCATGCAGTGTTTTAAAAACAATTTCTCAAATTTGTAAGTTGAAAACCAAGTGCTGGGGAATGAGGTTTTACAGGTAGAGTTCCAACTTACCTGTGGTAAAGTATAGATAAGCCACTGGGAAGTGAGACTGACACCAAGGGATGTGGAATATGTTTAGAGAGTAAATTTAAAAGGCTACCCGGGATGTAGAGATGACGATGATGAGTGGGGATGACAGACTGGAGTGTGGCTACAAACTACAGAACAATCTTGGCAATAGCATCGAGCAACATGAAGAAAGCTTGCAAACACACCCACAGCTAGATGCATGATTACTTACTCCAAGTAAGTGCAATTCCTCTAGGTAAATTAACTTCAGAATCTGGCCAATATGTACAGGCACATCAGAAAGATTCAATATTAGTTAAAGTGACCTCTTTGTTACACTTTTTATAAAGTCTAGAATCATGAAAAGTGCCTTTTTCTAAACAAATTTATACTAAGTCAAAAAACAAATTCAATTAAGTAGAATAAACAGGAAAAAAAGCACAGGACACAGCCATGTTCATGCAAAATTACATTACTGATGATCACATTTAAAAAACAACAACAACAAAACAAATACATGTCTTAATTTTTTTTCAAGTATTTGGATGATTGTGAAAGGGCCTTAAACCCACCACCAGGCAATATGACAAAAACGGTTCCAGAACTTACAATCTTCTTCTCACGTTTGCTATTGTGTTCTACTGGCATGCTGCTGCCATTGCTTCCTGAGGGGACAGTGCAGCCAGGGTTATGTGCCTGAGATGGAGACATGCTCTGCAAAGGTTAAGACACACAGATGCATCACACACAGAAGATGATGACAGCCAAAATACATATTAAGTACGTGCAAGTTAGAAAAGCGATGCAAACACCGTTATTACATATGAGTAGTGCAGCAAACAATTTCAGAGGCTCGAGTTAAACTACTCATGAAATCTGACAAGACTACACAGATTCTACGGCAAATAGCATAATTGGTTTTATCAAATCAAAATAAGGTCTTTAATATTTTCAAAAACACCCCGGGAACATCTCTTTCTCATTGAAAGATAAAAAAAAGACTTTGAAAATCCATAGACGCAAAGAAAACAACAGCAATTACAACAAATTAAAAAATGACCCCGTGTGCTTGAGAAAGAGATATTCCAGATTAGGATCCACAAAGTGATCAGACAGGTATGTCTACATGCAGCATCCAACTTGTTAAGGCAAACTATTACTTCCCCATAGGCAACGTGATTGATTCTTTTCTATCTTACATGGTACAGACAAGTTAAGCATTTACCTCCTGGCTTAGAAGAGGTCTTGCTTCAAGAGCTATCCTTTTCTTATGCTCCTCTTTCACAGGCATTAGGGGCTTGAAAAACTTTGGTGGCTGAGGAGAGAATGCTTTAAAAGGGCTGACGGTTAAGGCATGAGGATTTTCTGATGTACCACCTGGGGAAGACAAAGTCATGGGTTTATAGGCGCAGAGCACTTTAACCAACACACAGGAAGCAGGGCATAACCTAGTAACAGGAGTATCTGGTATAACAAAGAAATTCATATGCTAACATACGGCTAAGCATTAAAACAGAGGTAGAAAAGAATGGAGATATAACTACAAAATCAAAAAGTGTCACCAAAGAAATGAGAAACCAAGTTTTCTACACTCTTTTCAAGATCCAGCTTAAGCGCCACTTCCCAGACCAATTTAGACCCATGCTTATTTTGTTTCTCTGAATTCTCAGAATTCTTATTATTTGCACATGCAATTTAGCACTTTATCATTTAGTGCCTAATTTTCTATGTATCTCATTTCCAAAGTCAGATTTTAAGATCTATAAATGATACCTTCTTGTATCTTTCATTGCATACAGCAAATAGAGGCTCAATAAATAACGAGTGAATACTGTATAAATTTTCTTGCAAGCCCCCTTTGCCTCAAGCCTTGTCCATATGACTAAAAAAGGACAATTTTCTTTCTGGCTTTTACTCATTTCTTTCATTGTTGGGTCTCTTTTCCTCCTACATTTTCTTCCCAGCTCATTGGTTCAATGACACTTAAATAAAATACAAGGTGTAAGATAACGGAACTGATTTGCACATCCACAGAATGCTGTTCCCATCAGGGCATTGAAAGATGATAATACTTAGGTAATAATGTTGTCACTGGTAAATTACTTTCTGGTATCATTTAAAAGTTAGTTTAATTAATTTACCATTGGTTTAGGAATTCGAGACATGTTCTCCTAAACAATCCTTTAATTTAAGTCCAAAAAATGACAGAAGTGGATATTCTTGTGGGGAAGAATGAAGTCTAATTATAATGTAATAAGATTTGTGTATGTCTCAAAACTGACTTCCAACCCAGGAAATGAGGTATGAAAAATGATTTAAAAATCCTGAAGTGTTACACAAAAGGCCTATTATTATTTAAGTGATACACTGCATACAAAGCAAAAAAAATTAAAATAAGTGAACGTAAGTTCCATTCAAGAAAATAGTTTCGGATTATTTAGCAAGCTAGAATTTCAGCTTCCTATCTTATTATTTGCCATCTATAAAATAATCTTACTCCCCACTTTTCCTAAGGAATTATAAAGAAACTAGTGGCCTGTGCATGAATGTGTGCACAATGAAAGGAAATTAGAAAAAAAATTTAATATCGCTATTCGCCCTTTATAATAGAAGTGTCAACCAAATTCATGATCGACAATGATAGATCAAAACACACGAATGTGATTGGCGCCAGCAAGAGCTATGTATGTATTGCTCATGTGCAAGTCATCTTAGCCTTTTATATAGAGAGAATAAACTTGCTTAATTAGACCTGCTTTCTGATTTAGCTAATCTTTTTCCAGTTCAGTGAAGCACCCCAACTTCTCTTTCAGGTAATTGTCAACAACATGAAGCAGATTGTTATTGTAGATCACTAAGGGTAAAATATTTAACTGCATCAGTGTTTGACAATATTCCGTGCAGTGACAAAACCTGAAGTCATTTTCAAGGACCACCATTTCTTACTTCTTTCCAATCGGGTCAAGTTCTAAGCTTTCTAACTCTCCATTTTCCAGCTAATGAAAAGAAAATAGGATTCCACAGTCTCCTATCTACCTACTCTAGGATTTCTGTGAGGATCAAATGAGATGAGGCACATGAAAACGCTTCACAGACATTTGGTTATAGTCTCCACCTGACTCTGAAGCAAGTTGTGTTTCTGGCTGAAGAAACTCCAAGGAGGCTCGTCGCTAGGGAGAAGAAGCAGGTTGCTGCTACATGACGTCATTGGATGGACACTTAGCATATTAGCTCATATATACAGATAACATAGAAAAACAATCTCACCACTACCTTCTTTACTCCTTCGAGGTGAATCCCTGGGTAAAGTCCCATAACACGCTACATCTTGGTAACTGGAGCTGTAGTCAGACATGTCTAACTGGTTCTCCGGCCAACCCTACAAAGTAAAATGTAGGTTAAGCTGTAATGAAGTTCCTCTGAAGTGAAAAATGAAGCCTGAATTGAGTGTTTGTTTTTCCCCCCTATTTTTTAATGGGATACTAGAATGTACTTTTTTCTATTTTTACTATAAAATATTTTCAACACACATTAAAGTCCTAAATATGACCTGTACTGTTATACAAGTACAAGGTATACTTAGAGTGAATAAATGTTAACATTTGGTTGCATTTGTTCAAAATTTAATAAAATCATTACAAATAGAGTGACTTACAGGTACCATTCATCTTCCTCCCTTCCCCATAGCAGTCACTTTTATGAGTTTGGTATGTATCTAAGGAGGCTGAATCATTTAAAGATCAAACTGAAACACTTTTTCGAGAGAAATGGTTCTATTAATAATTTTTCCTGGGTAGCAGGCACTAGCTGGGACAGCCCCAGGCAAACTAGGTGATGTGGTTACTCTATGTATACCTGAGATTTAAGAGTACCAAAGTGGCATAAGATACTGGTATCCTAAGGGAGAAAATTCTTCTTGTATAATATATCATACAAGCTTATTTAATTTATTTCATCTTTCTCAGGAGTTGGTTGCCTCTAAGAACTAAATTTTAAACTTCTTGAGGACATAATTTGTGTTTACACTCTGAATCATCCATAGTTCCTAGCTTAGTAATTTACATACAATATATAATTAAGAAATGTTTGCTGAATAAGATGATGTTGCAAATGTCCTTGATTTTAAATCTCTAATTTTACTCACTTGAAATAATTGCAAATTTGTTATGGTAGATGTAACACCTTAAATTGGTTAGAGTTAGTCTCATACACACAGATATATAATTATGTGTGGTATTATCCCAGTATGGAAAGCAGTGTTATATACTAAATAGCAATGTAACACTCAGAGTGCACAGCAGCAGTTTCATATCAAGTATTTGAACTTGAAAATGGACATATGGAGACAATGATCTGCATAAGATTAAGATGGGAAGTCCAGAAATTTTAAAAACACTAAGATATCCTACCTTTCCCAATTTAGAGATTGCTAATAACCTAGCTATGCCCACAGGTACTTACCTTATCATCTTCATCAAAGCCAGAAAGGTCTGGTCGACTGGAAGAGACCTGTAAAAAATGGTTTTACCAATGCGGCTTATATATTTTATAGAAATTTTATATATACATGTATAAAGAAACATGATTTTACATGTACAAATGAATCCTGTATGACCACCTTCTCTCTTCTTTCTTCCTTCCCTCCTTAGGAGCAATGACTAATCTAAAGTTGGGGTTTATTATTCCCATACAGGTTTCATGTAATATTATACATATGCCTATAAATATACAGCATTATTTTGCACATTTTTATAATTCATTAAATAGTATCTTACTATATATGGTCTTCCTCAATAGTCCAATACTTTATTGTGTTGTATTCTAGACGGATATCCAGGCTGCTTCTAATTGTTTTTATTACAAACTATGATGAAATAAAACTTATTGCTGCTGCCTCTAAGCACCACTCTTTCTACACACTACCAGAACTAACGTGTATTATTTCAGCATCCTTTAGTCCTAAATGCACCCTACATATATGAGAATCTCTGAGCAAATATTGAGGCATGGAATATCTGCTTGTTGATAAGATACAGGCACTGTTAGCTCTGCTCTTCCATAGGGATTTTAGGACCAGCTTATCAAATCCTAAAATAAATTATGTTGGAAATTATAGATCAGTTTAAGAAGAAGTGACAATATTTTGATATTGTGTATTTATATCAATGAACATAGCTTCCCCATGAGTTGAGGCCTTCTTTATGGTGTTAACTGGATTCAGATTTCCTATTTCTTCTTGATTCTGTTGTGTGTTTTTTTAAAAAGATATATTTTATTGATTTTGTACAGAGAGGAAGGGAGAGAGATAGAGAGTTAGAAACATCAATGAGAGAGAGTCATCGATCAGCTGCCTCTTGCACACCCCCTACCGTGGATATGCCCGCAACCAAGGTACATGCCCTTGACCGGAATCGAACCCGGGGCTTTTTAGTCCCCAAGCCGACACTCTATCCATTGAACCAAACCGGTTTCGGTCCCTCATTACTTTTTACTCTTCTTTTTAATGTAAGAGCTACAAATGTGCTAATAGTAGATCTCATCTTTTCATGTTCTCTTTTGTCTAGTCTGTAAGATTCCACTGAAGGCCCCTCATGTCACCCAGCTGTGCTCCCAGGTGTGCTTCCCTAGGACAGAGGAGCAGGCGTGGCAGTTGGGACGCCCACATCAGTGCCAAATGTTCGACTCGCACCTACACCCCGACCCCCGGACCCCTCCTGGGGGACACGCCTCCCCCGGCCCTGCAGGGTGTGCTCACATTGTGCACATTCGGGGTGCTGAGGCTCCTCCGCAGGTGCCGCGCTTTGGTGGAAAGTGCTTCTTTGACTGTGACTGCCTGTAAATTTGGAAATGATATTAATTTATCTCCTTTGATGACAAAAGTGACATATGTTTATTGTGGATGACTTAGAAATAGAGAACTAAAGATCATGTCAATCCCACCCACACTCCCCCATATTTACAAAAATGGAAACTTTTTGTACCCACTATTTTTTTTGCTTAATCTATCAAAAATATTTTTTTCATAAATAAAACCAGGAAAATTGCTCAATTAAAGAAATTTATATGTTGTCAAATTTCTTAAAGATGAGCAGAGGAAATGTAGAAGAAATAACTCTAACTATATATTTTGTCAAAGTAATTGTTTTTTTCTAATAAGACCACTATTCAAGTGCTCCTCCTTGGATAGGTATAGAGAGAAGGTGTTTGGTAAATAAATTCATCTCTGCCCATTTGCAGTGAAGACTGGTGACTCAACCTCTGGCCCAGTTACTTGCCTGCCGGAGCCGCTCAAGGCTCAAAATGTTCTCCACCTGCAGCACGCCACGTGTGTACTTCTCAATGTACGTTTCTCCATCTGACGTGCCTTCGTTTTCACTCCTTGCTGCCATGAGGGCCAGTGTCTCCCGGTCCTCAATCTCCTCTGTTGCCTAAAGTGACAAGAAAACAATTATAATACTTCTAGATGAACATTATATATATATATTTTATTAAGACTGGCGAGAAAATGATTTAAAAGTTTTGAAAATGAATATTTTCCATTACTTACATTGCGATCTTTTAAAAAAGTGATATATATTTTTACCTTTGGTATATTGGATACTATTTCATAGGTTACACCGCAGGAATAAAATATATTTTTCAATGACATTCTCCTCTTCAAACTCTGGGTGAAACTCTGGTAGAAAAGGAAAACTGAATTAAGTGATCTGAAAATATAAGTTACTTAGTCTTGTACTAATTGTAAAGGCATTACCAAACACTGTTTTTGATACACCCACAATACTCAAAATAGAACAACAACAACAGAAAAGGAACAGAAAAAAAACCAGAAAACTAATCTCTGTGTCTACCCGTGAGGCACAATGATGTCCCGCTATTATTTGGGCAGAGTATGGAATTTGCAGGATTTTTATTGTGGTTGCTTCTCTCTCTCCCATTTGCTGCATTTCATCTGATCATGCGAGGGTTGAGTCAGTCTATCCTGGCATCATCAGAAGAAAACTGGGCAGGATCAGCTTTGTGGACAGTACCTCTGAGATGAGACCTGGGTAGGCATTCGGACAAGGATTTATTTGGGGCCTGCATTTTGTCCTGCTTTTGTCATTAATCCTCTTGGACCCGGCACTTAACCCTTTAAACAGTAAAATCTCATAGCTCCATTGCCTGCTAGGATTAAGGGTCGCAAATCGACAAAGATGGAAAGTCCTTGTGGATGACATTAATTTTGCTATCCTCAGACCCCACTATTCTGGATAAATGAGAATCAGACTGTAACTTGGCCAGTATGGTAACAATCTGCACATCCACTGTGTTAACATCACAAATACTACTCTGTGATAGAAGGGAAAACTTCAAACCAGAGCCTGTACTACCTGTTTGTTGTAAATATTGGCTGCAATCCGTTTTCGTAACACTATCTCCATAGCAGCCGGGTGGCTGAGCTGGACTGTGGTCTTCACTATCAGGTAAATCCTTTCATTCTGGGGAGTGACCCTATTCAAGTGAACAGAATCATGCACCGAGGAGTCCCACGAGGCTATGGCTGAAACCTAGAAAAGGGAGAAGGATGGAGAGATGGAAACAGGACATAAGTCACCCACTAGAGAAAGAAAACAAATGCAATTCAACTGAATAATATTGTCCTTAACCACAAGTTTCATTTAAAAAAAATTATTTATATATATATATATATATATATATATATATATATATATATATATATATATATAAAATTGATTTTTTACAGAGAGGAAGAGAGAGGGATAGAGAGTTAGAAACACTGATGAGAGAGAATCATCAATCAGCTGCCTCTTGCACACCCCCTACTGGGGATGTGCCTGCAACCAAGGTACATGCCCTTGACCGGAATCGAACCTGGGACCTTTCAGTCCACAGGCTGCCGCTCTATCCACTGAGCCAAACTGGTTTCAGCAAGTTCCATTTTTTTTTTTTTTTTTTTTTTTAAAGCTCCCAGTCTTCCCCACCAAAGCAGACCATAGTAGTTTAATGGAAAGATGGCCCACAGGCACATGAAGCCCTTAACGAGAACTTTAGGGATCAATTACCTCTTCATCACTGTGCTTTATGATGGGCAGGTAGAAAAACTGGCTGCCATGCTCCTTGGGCAGGATGGAGTTCACACCTGAGGCATGGGGGCCCACAAGCTGTTCATTGGCACTGAGGTCATCCGCTAACCGAGACCAGGGCCCAGAAACAAAAGTGGGAGAAAGTCAGTTTTTAATTAAGACCAAATAGATGAAGTTTACATGTAACATATTCAATTTTTCTTTCATTCCTTATCCTGCAGTTGATATAGACTCCAATACTCCCCCACAATCACTATTCTTTATGGGATTAACTGTGGGCCTTTGTGAGACTCCTACCAAATGAACTGAGTATATTCTATATGTAGTCCAAGGAGCAAATATTTTTTATTACATATACACAACTTAAAATTTTGATGGTTTCTGATACCAATTCCTCCTGTAACCTAGTGTTAGGTTTGTTGTTCTACTCATATAACTTACACTAAATTAGATTTTGAGAAGTTCAATTATAAATTTAGAATCAAAGTCCTGAGCACTTAGGAGAAATCTGATAGCCTTCCAATGTTGTACCAAAGCGGAATTCAACCTTCACAAATCTCTGTAAGTAGCCATCCAGTTTCTGCTTGTACATCTCCAATAATGGGGAACTCACCATTTCATGAGGTACAGTCTACTTCTAGGTTTTTAAAAAATTCTTCATATGAAGAGCCAAAGCCAATCTCCTCATATCTGCCTTCTATCCATCACTGGGCTTCCCTCCAGGAGAGAGGTTTTGAGATTGTGTGCAGAGGATCCCAACGGCCGTGCAGAAGGGCCTGCCAGAGCCTGTCCCTCCCCAAACGCATCAACTCTGCTTTTGTCTGGGGTTCCATTTAAGAGTTCATTGTGAAAATGGGTTTTACTACTAAAACATATTAAAAACCACTGTTCTAGAGTCACCCAGGTTTGATCTCATTGCCACAGTGAAGGACAATCCTAACGTAGGGGGACTGTCATGTTCGGGTACCAACACCATTGTGGTGGAAGCAAAGAACACCAGTCAGAAATGCAGATGCCTACTCCCTTGCAAAGCCTAGAGATTCAGAGTCCCTGAGGGTAATTTCCATGTCTGTTAGCATTTCAAAGTAATAAGTGCAGTAGTGTTCCTATATGAAGTTCCCAATTTCTCTTTAAAGATTAAATATCTACACCTCTCTTCTAGTGCTCTTACTTGTCATGGCCATATACATTTAGTTGGACTAACAGTATCACCTAGATATGGCATATGAGTAATTAGAAAAGTGATTCAATAAGGATCAAAATCATGTAGGTCTGAAGAGATTACAAACCTTAATTAAATGTGATAACCCCTAGACAGTTAGAGGTCTACTTACCGTTCAAATCAAGGAAGAGAACTGGTATGTGGGTTTCCATTCCAGGTGGAGGGATCCTAAATTTAATAACAAAATTTAATCACAACCAAAAATGTGTCTTACATCGTGATAGGTAATCAGACATCACAGAGGGACGGATGCAGAAAAGAACCATGCTCTTGGAGATACAGGCTCCATTAATGACATATGTTCACATTCTTGACATTCCTATTAATACAAACCATGGGAATTATGTGACTTATAAAGTATTACCAGTTGTGTATATGAATTACATGGAATTAACCGAGACAAAGATTATTTGAAGCCTTTCTAAAAATAATTTAGTGATGGGGGAAAAGAGACGGGGATGTTGTTACAGTGGGAATAGGGGAGAGAATCAAAGACTCGAGGAAGAATACAAAAGAGACAATATTCAAAAGCTCAAAGAAGCTCAAAGAGAATGGAATATGGAGGAAAGGAGGCAGAGTTGTGTGCAGGAAAGACCAAAGCCGTGTTTCATCAAAACTTGTCCATCTGCATCAGAGTCAGCTTTGGGGGCGGGGAGAAGTGGGGTGTGCACTCTTAAAATGAAAGTCCTGGGCGCATCCTTTTTCTTCCAAATCAGAATAATTAGGAAGGGACCAGGACTCTACATTTTACAAATAAGGTAAAGGTCTAAAGAGAGCCTCAAAGAGCAGAACACAATGGGACTGGGCTGGCTATTTATCAAAAGTGGCTGCCACATGCTGCATGTGACCTATAGGATTCCAGCACAGAGGAAAATCTGCAGGGAGAAACATCAGGTTAAAAATTCTGTGCTGCCAAAACCGGTTTGGCTCAGTGGATAGAGTGTCACTTGTGGACTGAAAGGTCCCGGGTTTGATTCTGGTCAAGGGCATGTGCATTGGTTGTGGGCACATCCCCAGTTGGGGGTGTGTAAGAGGCAATTGATCGATGATTCTCATCGATGTTTCTAACTCTTTATCCCTCTCTCTTCCTCTCTGTAAAAAAATCAATAAAAATATATTAAAAAAAAAATTCTGAGCCTGCAAACTCAGATTTTCTAGTTGTATAACACCCTGTAAGCAATTACACTTCCATTCATCGTTACAGACACAAGTAACATCACTCATGTTTCTGTGCCTATCCAAAAGAGATGATCTGGGCATGTGTTCAAAAGAAATTTGATTTCTCCTAAACGCTTAGGATATATTCTTAAGAATAAGAATGAGGAAAAAAAAAATAACCCAGGGAGGATCCAAGATGGCTGCACAGGTAAACACCTAATCGCAGCTGCACGTAACAATTTCAATGGAATACAACTAAAATATAAAATGGACATTGCCCAGACTGACTGAAAATTCTATAACAAGAAGGAAAGAGAAAACCAGAAGGAAATTCAGAGGAGCTGAAAAAGCCTAAGGTACGGAGACATGCTGCGCGTGCATGTGCGTGGAGAGGACGGAGCCGGAGAGGAGAAGGCTGGGTGCCTGCCTGGCGTTCCCTAGCAGGAAGGAAATAAAAGCCCAGGACTGGGCTGACCCCCAGAATCGGCAGCGCCGAGCCCCAGTTGTAGGCCAGACCCTAGGGACCCAGGCTCAGGCAAGGGGAGACGGGGCTGTGAGGTGGAATCCCAGGGGTGTGGCGAAAAGCAGAGCCCCCGGAGTCACACACATTGTGCACAGAGGACGGAATGTTGACTCTGATGTTGGATTGCCTTAGTGGGAAGGAAACCAAACATCCGGCTGTGCTGAGCCCCAATTCCGATTGCTCTGAACACTAGTTCTAGGCCAGACCCTGGGGACCCAGGCTCAAACAGAAGGAGACGGGGCTGTGAGGCAGAATCCCAGGGGAGCAGTGAAAGGTAGAGCCCCGGAGTCACGCACATTGCGCGCAGGGGACAGTCTGTTGACTCTGATGCTAGACTGCCCTAGCGGGAAGGAGAAAAAAGCTCCAGACTGGGAAGAACGCGATGAAGAGCAGGAGCCGCTGCCGGATATCAGCCAGTCGGGCGCCGGCAAGAAGCTGGGCGACAGGGCCCCCAGGGGGGAGGTGCCGCTGGGCCCTCGACTGCTGATCGCGGGCCACAGAGCCGAGGCCGGGGGTTGCTTCCTGGGCGGCACGGACCCCGGCAACAGGCTGAAGCCGTGCAGGAGGCCGTGGAGAACAAAGGGGTGCCACAGGCCAACCTGCTGAGCTTCCAGGACGAGGAGGAAGAAACCAAAGAAGTCTTCAATGTGAAGAAATCAAGTTATAGCAAAAAATAGTAAAATTACTTAAGAATACAAAGAAGATCTTGAAAAATCAAAGACTAAGACAGAACTCAACTTAGCAGCCAACATTGCAACATAAATGCATTTAAAAAAAGAAAAGAAAAGAAAAAAAAAAGGATAGAATGTTGGAATGGCGGTGGCCAGGCCCAGAGTGGCCAGGCCCAAGGCAGTGGCAGCCGGGCCCGGAGCAGCAGCAGCCAGGCCCCAGAGCAGCAGCAGCCAGAACCAGAGCAGCAGCAGCCACACCCGGAGCAGCCAGACTGGGACAGTGGCAGCCAGACCTGGGGCGGAGGCAGCTAAGCCCAGGGTGGCCAGGCCTGGAGCAGCCAGGCCCGCAGTGGCCAGGCCCAGAACAGCAGCAGCCAAGCCCGGAGCATCCAGGCTGGAAGCAGCCGGGCTCAGAGCAGCTGGGCCCAGAGCAGCCTTGTCGGGAGCAACCATACCCAGAGCAGCAGCAGTCAGGCCAGGAGCGGCTGGGCCGGGAGCAGCCAGGCCCGGAGTGGCCGGGCCCGGAGCAGTAGGGCCCAGAGCAGCTGGGTCGGGAGTAGCCAGGCCCGGAGCAGCAGCAGCCAGGCTGGGAGTAGCAGTGGCAGATCCGAAGCAGCTGGTTGTGGAGTGGACCAGAGCAACAGAGGCCAGGCCCGGAACAGCCGGGCCCGGAACAGCTCGCTCCTCGCCTGCCCATGCCCCAGGGCTGCCTCTCAGACATGGCTGGAAACTTTTGGGGGAACTTGAGGGTCTGCTGAATCAAGTGATGAAGGCTTAGATCTGGATATGTTGAGTTATTATAGTGCTGGGGTGTTGATCTGTGAGTGCCTTGGATGGGGTCTGGATGAGGTTGGTTGATCTATTTGGAAATGTCTTTTGTGTGAAGTGTATCCTTGGGCATGTGGAGGTATTATTGGTTTGAGAAAATGCTAAGTAACTGATTTACTACCTGAAAAATTTAAAGTTCTGAAAGTTTAAGGTCTCTTGCCAAAAAGAGGTTTTAAAGCTAACACCTTAACTTTAATGGAGAAAGGGGAGGACAAGCCCTTCCCACCCAGATCAGGTAATCCAATTCCAGCCAGCAGCTACCTTTAAACAATGTGTTCATTTACATTTGAATGGTGACACCTTTTGATAGCCTAAGGGCAAGTTTACATGTAAACAAGTTTGCTTCTCAATTCCCAGGGCATAAAAAACAAGGTTTAAAATTATTAGATTTTAAAATTTATTCTTAGAAGTGTAAAAGTTTATTAATTAAAACAACAACAACAACAACAAAAGGAGATTGAAAAACCTGATGAATCATATTAGCTGTTGATTGTAGTAGAATCGGAGATACGGGAGGGGAGTGGACTGACAGTTCTCAAGGAAAGGGGGAGTGGTGGATGCAGGAAGAAACTGTGCACCTATGGATGAGGACAATGGGGGGTGGGGAGGGGGCAAAGGGTGGGGTGGGAACCTGGTGGAGGGGGGAAGAAATGAGGAACCCTTGTAATAATATGAACAATAAAGATTAAAAAAAAAAAAGAAGAAGAATGAGACTAAGCAGCAGCAGTAGTAGCAGTTACCCTTTAATGAATGGGCCCTATAAACAAGGTATTTTGTATATGTTATCTCTAATCTTCACAACAGTATCATAAAGGTAGCCCCATTAATGATTAAGAATGAAGCCTCAGAGAAGGTAAGTGACAACACTTAAGAGCTATAGCATCCAGATCTGATAGACTGCATAATTTCAGCTTAACATTTAATATCACAGTTAACAGGATATCACCCTGTTTCTTATGAGCATAAGGACTGACATATCAATCGATGGATTGTAATTTAGATATATCTCTGCCCTCTTTGACTACACCTGGAAACATCCTTCTTTTGAGCCAAAATAAGAGAATTTCTGGAGATCAGGAAATCACATCCAAGTTGCTCATGCAGAGGAACTGAGGAGTGTGGTATTAGATTCCCCGCCAGGTAATAAATGCTCTCAGTCTTCCGCTTGTCTGCAGATGGACCGGAGGAAAATGGGAAGGCGGCACTGGGGACAGGTGCCTCTTCCCTGGGCAGCTCATGCTATTTAACATTTCCTGTGATAATCCAGGAAAGTCACTTGCGTGACTCTTGCGACAGTTCCCTCTGAACCACCCTATCAGACCCACACAGAAGGAAGGGTTGACTTACCAGTCGGCAGGTGCCCCGGGGATCCCACTGCCTGGGGCTGGCACCAGCACGGCATTCCTTTCCTCAGTCAGCCCCACCCACTGCTCCACAAGCCTGGCTTCCCGCTCCACTTCGTCCTCGGTTTTCTCTGTAGGGCAGAATGAGGGAATGAGTACCAAGAACGGGAAAAGTACAATTTCTACATTTAAAATAGGTGAGTACTTGAACATCTGCTACACTACAAAGGATTTGAGGCTTGGAAGTTCAAGCCTGAGCTTCCAGTTGGGCTTGGAGAGGCTAGGACACTAGCTAATGAACCACAAACCAGAAGAGTAGAAGGAACATTGAAACAGAGATTAAAAGACTTGGGTTATTTTACTGGTTCTGTAAAATGTGGGGAAGTGATTCAATAGATGAATTTAGTTTCCTACTCTGTCATAAAGGTATAATGAAGCCGTATCTACTTCATGCACTTGTTGGAATGATCAAATGAAATGATGGATGTGACATTGCTTTATAAAAACTATGCACCATTTTATAGAGAGAATTAAAGAATACCATATGCCGCACCCCACAAAACTAACTTTATTTTCCTTCATGCTCATTTTGAAGGGATTTTATATGACATATTTTGAAATCCTCTTACCTATGATACAACTCTGGAGCTACCTGGATAAAGTGAGTTTCACAGGTGGAGCACATGCTCAAAGGACACTAAGAAAGTTGAGCTGAGATGTTGTGTTGGGGAGAATTTTGGCTAACTTCTTCATGAAGTGGATTAACACCTGTGATGTGTCCTTTGGTGCAGAGTCATCCGGAATGAGTAAATCATAAAGTGAGAATGTGAGACTATGGGTTTCAAGAGCATATTTCTACTCTGGAATCCAGGAGGCGATGGCCAGCATAAGGGGATTGCATCCTTGGAGCTCGGGCTGAGTGTATGGCTACCTCCCAACAGCAGCTGGGGCTGACCTACCAATGGCTGTGCTTTCAGAAGTGACCCTTTAGCTGCTCTCAGTTCCAAGTTCTGAGCCAGACACAGCTCATTACTGAGATATGGTATTGATCATATTTGCATTCATCAAAACATAATTTCAGCTTAATATTTAACATCATAGTTAACTCAGAGTTTTATAAAAATGTATTAATTTCAAACTCAGAGCCTTCTTAAGCTAAGCCTGTGCAATATGATACACAAATATCTATAATTGTTATAAAGTTAAAAACTAAGATACCATTATCTAATGAAGAGAAGAAAGCAACCCACTGCAAGTGTCTAGAAGTGAAAAAGCTACTCCCGGGAAAGTTTAACCTCACATACCTTTTTTATTGCTGATTTTTTTAATCTGTTCATCTAAGTATTCTCGCCGCTTAATGAGTGCATCAGACCACCTCTCTCTTACACAGTTCAAGTCTTCTTCCTGGCATGAGGGAAGGAAAGCATTTTTCTGTAAAGTGCATAAACAACTACTATTTCTTTTTTTAAAGATGTTTCATTGATTAGAAACTTTTCATTAGGAAAGGCCATTGAACACTGCAAGTTCAGTGTGATTAATATGCAAGAAAGCAAAGAGATCTCACGAACATTGCATGCTGATCGAGAATCCCATTACTCAGAAATCAGAGCCCATATATTTCCAAAAGGATAATTGTACCTAAAAGCAAGAGAGACTCAAACTACACCAGCTGTTTGATGTGTGTGCTTAAGCTGTAGCTATTCATCTGAAAGATTTGCAGTTCTCAGCTGAAGGACACCATGAACAGAGCCCAAACCATGTAACAGCAAATGAAAGGGAAAATGACAGCTATTTTCATTGTTCACAGTTTAATGGTCTGATGACCTGTATTTTCTGAAACGCAAAGGATAGATCAGCAGAGAACCTTCCAAATTTGCCCCTACCATGAGGTAGCAAAAATCTCCCATGCAAAAACCCAACATGCAGCCAGCCATGCTCTCCGAACTCCCAGAAGCAAGCCAACGGACTTCACGTGGATACGTGGCAGGAAGCGCAGACAGCTGCAGGAGTGACTTAATGGTATTGCTGAGATCCAAGGGGATGTTTCTTTTATAGTTGGTTTTTACTTGCTTGTTTCTTTTCTTAGTAAAATTATGATGAGGTAAAGAACCCAACATTCTATTCAAAATGTGCTAATTTGCTTGATTTTAATCTAACCCTTAAGATATTATATTCAGAGCAGACACCTGTAGACTTCTGAGGCTCTACCTACAATGCACACCCATGTTAAGCACAGGAAGGCACCAGGAAAACATGCTTTTGAAGTTTATGTGGGGAATTAGTAGAGAAATTGAACCAAACCCCAAATAGTCCATCCTAGTTTGCTGCCTTGACCACTGCTATTATTGCTCATTCTGTGATAGCAGATCCGTCAGCAGTTGACTGGGTAAAACCTCACATTTGCACATATTAAAAAGTTGAGATTTAAATTCTCCAGGTTATAGGTAACTAACCTTGGCCTTAATGAAAGAAGAAAACTGGCTAAACAAAGCAAAACTGTGTGCATAAAATGTCTTCAATTTTCTTACCCAATAAAAATCTCTTAAGTGAAATGGCATATTCGAACAATACTACTCTCTTGGATGTAAGGAGCTAAGTGTAGTTTGTTGTAGGAAAGATAAGAATCTACTTACAGAACATGGATAGATAACTGCACAAATTTTAACATCACCAATTTAATACAGCAATCATGGTTTTGCTTAGAAAGGCTTTATAAGCTAGTCATTTGAGATGGCATAGCAAAATAGCAGAATTTGGTTATAAATTTTAAGCTGGCAGAGAAATCTATGTAGAGGCAGTATTGTATCCCTGATTACATTCAAAGCAAATCAAAAGCAAGTGAAAAACTGCATTTTCTTGCTCTACGCTCCTCCTTCCTCCGCCCTGCTCTCTGCTTTGCGGTGCTGGCAATTAGCAGCAGCTGTGCCCCATGCCATAGGATTGACGGCAGCAATACCTGATAACTATCCATATCATCACCATCCTCATCATCTCTCTGGCAGGAAAAAAAATAAACACAAAGGACATGCGTTTTGTTTCTCAAACAGCACACTTAAATAATTATTTAAGCTTAACACACATTACAATGAACAGCACACACATCAGCATCATAAAACATTTAATTGAAACACAAAAAGGTTTAGTAGATTTAATTAAGTTGTCTATAATTAATTAAGAAATTTAAGTTTAAAAAAATAAAAAAAGGAGCCTCACTGGTGTGGCTCAGTGGTTGAATATTGACCCATGAATCAAGAAGTCACAGGTTCGATTCCCAGTAAGGGCATATGACTGGGGATGTGGGCTCCATTCCAGCAAAGGCCCCCCCCCCCCCCTGCAAGCAGGATGTTTCTCTCTTATCAATTTTCTACCTCCCTATCTCTATTCCTTCCTCTCTCTCTAAAAATATTTTTTAAAAATTAAAAAATAACAAAGAAAGGAATAATTTAAAAAGAACTCTCTTAGAAGGGACTACCTGTTTTACTGCATTGTTAAGCAAATAGTTGCTGTGTATTTGTGGGTGAGCTACTTGAGATTTAGAGTAAGTTTAGAAACACAGAATGACAGAGAAAGGACTTTAGAGATTACGTTGCTTGACCTTTGAGCTTTAGCCATGAGGCAACTAAGGCCCAGAAGATGAAGTGATTTAATCCAAAAGTCACACACATAATGATTGGGGCAGGCCTGTAGCCTCCCACCTCACCACACCACTCTCACTGATGAAATCATCCAGTGAAAGCTCACTGGGGAACCTAAATCTATCTACTTTCAGAGCTCTGCACTAGACCAATGCAATAAGAGCAAAGGTCACTATTTTAAATATACGGATCTATCATTAGTCACTATTGTGTATATCACCATACATACCAAACAGCTGAGAGAAATCAGAATTGTGTTAATCCCACAGGAACTGCTTACAATAACATAAAATAACAATTTTGGCGAAAACATTTGGCAAATAAAATCACAGTGTTGAAAATAAAAGTTTTAGGTGAGACAATTTTCCTTAAAAATAAGAATAATGAAATTCCCATTTGTAGAGAATATTCATCCATATGAAGGCTGGGTCTTGTAACAACTTTCTTTCATTTTTTTCTACGGTTACTGGAAGGTTAGTATTCAAGTAGTGGTCTAGTCATAAAAAAGACAAACTGTTTTGTTTTTTTCAAGTTTAAAACATAATGATATTATCCTCATACCTAAGTATATTTCAAAATATACTGCTACTTAAAAGTGCTTTAAAAATACAGTTAAGATTATTCTCTGTCTAGACTTAAAAACACCCTTTGTTTTAATTTGGCAACCACCATTATCTTTTGTGTAAGTAACTCATTAAATGCAAGCAAAATACTGAAATAAGTTTTTATGAATTAATCCCCCATATTAATGAATCATTTATTATTATTTTTTAGATATAGGAGATACTTCTATTAACTGAAAACTAGCCTGAGCTTCTACGATGGATAACTGTTGTGATGCCAACATATTCTGGATTGGCCTGAGCTACTGAATCAGAAAATTTCTAAAGTACTACATCAACAACAAAAAGTTACTGGATATGTCCTTGACTGGGCATGAGAGTAAAAATAACTCCTTAAAATAGCCACACTTTAAATTTGCATGACTGGTACTATGCTCTTTAAAGAACATTTAGCACTGGGGAAAGGCTGATATTTGAGAGCTCAGATGTTGACAAATATCTATTTTAACTCAAGAGGTATAGCTGTTTAACAAAGTGCAAATAAGCAATCCTTATAATATTCCTAGAATGGGGCATTTAGCCAATAAGCAATCCTTATAATATTCCTAGAATGGGGCATTTAGTCAGCTGTGACCTACAGAATATTGATACTCCATATTCTGTAGGTCACAGTTTAGGACACACAGATTCAAAGTTTTATTTAAGATCAGAAACATGCCGGGACCGGTTTGGCTCAGTGGATAGAGCGTCGGCCTGCGAACTGAAAGGTCCCGGGTTCGATTCCGGTCAAGGGCATGTACCTTGGTTGTGGGCACATCCCCAGTAGGGGTTGTGCAAGAGGCAGCTGGTCGATGTTTCTCTCTCATCGACGTTTCTAACTCTCTGTCCCTCTCAATTCCTCACTGTGTAAAAATCAATAAAATATATTTTTAAAAAAATCAGAAACATGTTAAGCCACAAAAATTCTACTGCAGAAAGGGAGCTCAGAGAACTAATAAGTCTACCTCATCATTTGAAGAGAAAAAGAAACTTTTTAAAATTACCCAAGCAAGGTAACTACGCAGGAAGGCCAAATTAGACTTAAGCACACAGGTCTCCTCACTCTAATGGTTTCTACGAGGCCCCGCAGCCACCCCAAAGTTGACAGCCAAGTGAGGGACTGAATTAGGATGAGAATACAGACGGTCCAATTCCCTCCTCCATCCACAAGGAAAAGTCTTGTGGAAAAGACTGTCCCCAGGGTTTCACTCCTACTCTCCCCCAGGCCTTGGGAGCTCTGGCCTGAGATAAGGACAGAAGTGTCCAACAAAGCCATTCCTCCCTGAAGGCTGGAGAGTCCAAGAATGTTGTTTTTAGCTTCGAGGAAAGTCTTTGCCTGAATGCCATGAAACCAAAAGAAAGAGCGATAAGAGGTGAAACATTCTTGGAATGGACTGGGCTTATGCCCAGACTCCACAAGAGGTGTCCCCTTCCTCTCTGGACGGGGACAGTGCTCCCTCTCAGGTGGCAGTGAGGGAGTCCCCATGTTATGGTCTGATTTCTTCCGTCCCTAATTCATACCTGAGAATAAACTGGGGACTTGAGGAAGCAGATGTATGCCTTCAGGACACTGGGGACAATTTCCTAATCTTAAAGTTTATTTTCAAGGAGTACTCCAGTTATATGAAGATCAATTCCTAGAGGTTTTTATCTTTTAATTTTAAAAAATGAATACACTATATTTAGTAAGTGGAAAATTAATGGACAAAAATGATCAAGACAAATTTTAATTTTTTTTTAAATAATAAAGCTTTTAAAGAACTCATTATTTATGCCAGTGTATGGGGGCAATTTTATGTTAATAAAAGTGGATCAGGCCAGGCAGCAATGCCAAATATCCAACTTAATTTGGACCAAAAATAAAACAAAAGTTGCCTAACGTAAATGAATATACTATTCATACATATTAAAATATATATTTTAATACTGTAGCATTAAAATGTATATTTATAAATAAAATAATTATTAATCAACACTGAGCCAATGTTGTATTTTAAATCTAGAAAAAGGGCAAGGGGTAGAAATATGAGGGCAGGGCCAAATAGGTGGTTAAGGCAAGGAATTCTGTTGTATTCCCAAATAGGTGTCTCCATCGCAGGTCACGGATTTCCTTAATTCTGCATTAATCAATCTTTGTTAAGTACTGTTTCAAACCTGTTGGTCTTACCTGATAACTGTCCAGCCCTCTTTGGAGCTTGGTGGACCGGGCAGTCACACAACCAATAGATACTGACAGGATGGCTTCAACCATAAGTGGCAGTGTCCCTGAATGCTGTACAGGTTTGACCGTGACTTGCACTCTCCGGGAATGACCCTGTGGAGGTGAGGGTGCCATGAGGGAGTGATGTGGAAACGGGTGCCAGGAATGGGAATGGGGAGTGAAAGGGGAAGAGGAAAAAGAAGGGAAACAAATTAGGGAACCAAGAGTCAAATAATGCAAAAATTCCAGAGACTGTGTGTTACGAGGGGGACAAGGAAACCATGAGACAAAAACAAACCGAGTACCTGTCTGAGCTGAAAGATGCCCCCAGTGTTGACGTCTTTCGCCTGGTGAAGCTCTACTGCGGCATACTCCCCTAGCTCGTTCAGTTCCAATATGGAGATCCACATTTCTATTCTGCGAGTCACTTCATTCCACCTGCAGAACGCATTCCAACACACAGCACTCTCACTGCAGGGGCACTATTAGGAATGAGCCACCGTTCACTGACCACTTGCTATGTGGTAGGCACTGTGCTATGGATGTTGCGTAGACTATTTTTCTATTAACTCTCAAAAACTTTCGGTGCACATCCTTTATATTTTATTGAGGTGTAACTTATATTTAGTGACATGTCCAGATCTTAAGCCCAGGGTTTGATGAGTTTTGACAAATGCATACATCTGTGTAAGCTATCCCACTGTTAACTTCAGAAAGTTGCTCTTGCCCTTTCCCATTCACCCACAACTACCCCTCCATGCAGCAGCCATATAAGCTCATAGATTAGTTTTGCCTTTTCTAGAACTTCATGTAAATGAAATCATATAGTAGTATATACTCTTTTAGGTCTCGCTTATTTGGTTCTGCATGTTTTTGAGATTCAGTTAAGTGAATAGCAATAGTCTTTTTAAAATTTCTGAGTACTATTGTATTATATGAATACTACTACAATTTGTTTATCTATTTTCACATAGAAGGACACTTGGATTATTTGCAGTTGCCATAAACCTTTGTGTGTACAAATCAGCTTGTTTTCATATTTTTGGGTAAATACAGAGGAGTGGCATTGCTGGGTCACACTACAGGCAAATGATTAACTTTACAAGAAGATAGTCTCCTATTTTCTTCTATAAGCTTACAGTTTTATAGTTATGGTGATGTAGTTTTGTGTATGGTGTGAAGTAAAAATCGAAGTTGTTTTTTTTCCATATTGGTATGCAGTTTTTCAGTTTTGTTTGTTGAAAGGATTTTCCTTTCCCCATTGAATTTCTTTTTTGCCCAGTAGTTCCTTTGACCATTCTCATTTCACAAATGAGGAAAGAGGCTCAGAGAATCCATTTTCTTAACTACTGTCCAAGTGCTACTAGTCTCTTGGCCCTGTGTCTGAAGCTCACAGGAAAGTACGAACCTGTCATGCAGCGTTCTTGTCTTAGCATGAAGAGAATCCACCTCCCAGATGGAGCTACCATTCCCAGCACACCGGTGGCCCCACACTTCAATGGCCAGTGCTCCATCTGAAATGAACTCCAGGAATTCCTCGGTTATGTTCACCACATAGTCCTGGGGTAACGGGAGGAAAGACAGAGCGACAAAAATTACACATAAAGAAATTCCTGACATTTTCCTTTCTAACTTTTAACTATATATAGTTCACTTTGGAGTATATTAGCTAGATCCCAACCTTAAAAACCATCTCTACTGTTTTATAGAACACCATCAAGAAAAAAAAAGAACATAAAATCTGAAAGTGATATTATGAGGTAATTTAACCCCACCCCTTTCTTTTATAAATGAAGAAAATGAAGAATGCTACTTGTACCATGTCATACTGCTTGTGAGTTAGAGAGCTGACTGACTCTACGTTCCCTCAGTCCTGGCTCATCATTTATAGCTCCCCAGCCGCTCTGACATTCAGCTGGCATGGACCAGTAAGCACATCAAAAGAAGAACATTTGATTGCTCTTTGCTTTGGTGTAGAAGACTAATAACAGAATGTAATTTTACATGATCATTGTCATGATTCTCAGCTCTTGCTCCTAGACTCTCCCACCCCAATTCCCCATTTAAAGCACAAACAGATGACAGTGAGGAAATGAATCCTAACTGACTGAGTAGTAAGGAACAAAGTCAATTTTCTTTCCACTCACAACTCCAGAGGGTGAAGACAACTCTGTGACTAACTTCTGGCGAGAGCTATCCAACCTCACATATTTAACTTCTTATTTATTTCCTTTAGAGACAGATCAAGCATTTTAGAAGAAAAATAAACTTAATGATCAATTTGTATTATACAACCTACATTCTTTAAAGATGAAATAAACCCCAAGGGCACATAATGATTCCAGGGGCCCTGAGACCAGTATTTATTATATTAGCTGTTAACTAGAATGCTCTTGAAATTCAGATTTTATTATCCTGCTAAATAGCAGCTTTGTAGATCCAAAGAAACACGGGGAATACAGAAACAAAAATTATTAATGAAAAAATTTGAGAAATATATTGGTGAGAACAGGTAATAAATGTTAGTTATTTTCAGGAAAAAAAAGAGACTTGATAGTCTTTACATATGTGAAATTTTATAAATGGTGATATGGGATTTGTTTTTTAATTGTAGAACTAGAAGGAATAGGCACAATTTATAAAAAAAATAAATAAAAGGTATTGAGTACCTATTAAGGATTGTCCATGGAAAAACAAAATTACATAGGAAATAGTCTTTCTGTCAAAAATGACTTGTTGGCATTCCAATGTGAAAACCAGAAGGGCAGCTAATTTCCCAAAGTAGGTCTATGCAATATTCCCCCAAAACCTGCTTTTCCCATTTTTTATTTTCTTTCAAAACTCATATGGTAGCCCTAGCTGGTTTGGCTCAGTGGATAGAGTGTCGGCCTTGTGGACTGAAGGGACCCAGGTTCTAGTTTGATCAAGGGCATGTGCCTTGGTCGTAGGCTCGATCCCCAGTATGGGGCGGTGCAGGAAGCGGTTGATCAATGTTTCTCTCTCATGGATGTTTCTAACTCTCTCTCTCTCCCCCTTCCTCACTGGAAGATCAATGAAAACATATATAATAATAAAAGTGTAATATGCTAATTAGACTGGATAGTTAAACAAGCTTCCAGATGTCCTTCCAGTCGAAACTTAGGTTGCGAGGGCTGAGGCAAGCCACTGCAGCTGTGAGGGTCGAGCCCCTTGCATGAATTTCACGCATTGGGCTTCTAGTATTAAAATAAAATAAAAGACATACTGATGAAAAACAAAAACAAAAACAAAAAAACTCATCATGTGATACATTAGAATGCTATGCTTAGAATTTTATTTTATTTTTTATTTTTTTTAATATATTTTTTTAAATTTTATTTTTATTTTTTTATATATTTTATTGATTTTGTACAGAGAGGAAGGGAGAGAGATACAGAGTTAGAAACATCGATGAGAGAGAGTCATCGATCAGCTGCCTCTTGCACACCCCCTACTGGGGATATGCCCGCAACCAAGGTACATGCCCTTGACCGGAATCGAACCCGGGACCCATCAGTCTATATATAATTCACTTTATCCATTGAGCCAAACCGGTCCCGGCTATGCTTAGAATTTTAAACTATATTCAAAAGAATGAAAATATCTACAGCAACTTAAATGTTAAGATATCCACTTATATCAAAGTAATAAGATATAATTTTGCAATATGTATAATGTAATCACATTTTTGTAAAAAAGTGTTTTAAGAAGTTGTGTGCATGACATTAAGAGTGTGTATCTATGCCTATTCATATATTTGAGCATGTGTTTACCACACATATAAATGTTGTGGAATACAGAAAATAGTTTATCAAAATATATATCAAACTGTCATTGGTCATCACACCTCTGGGGAGTAGATATCGAGTACAGGTTCTTCAGATTTTATTTCAAGTACTTTTAAATTTTTTGAAATTATATTGAAGAACACTTTAAGGTTATAAAGCCCAATAAACATATTATGTCTATAAAAACTTCTTATGGGAGAAATTTCTAAAGTACAAGTAGACTTTGAAACTACACTCAGATTTGTTGCCTCCCACATAACTCATTCCATACCTTACAGTGAGAGAAGGTCACGCTGTACTGGGCATCCTTGGACTGTGGGGACGGTACCTCTGGGTCCACTACTGGGGCAGCCACTGTGGACTCACACTGGTCCCAGAATGTGTATTGACAGAAGACAAAGTTCGAGAGGTTTAAGGGCAGCCCAGTTGCTTCTTTAATTTTCACCTGAGGAGACAGATTTTTAAAAATGCAACTATAACTTCTATAAAGAAAACATTAAACTATGCATTCTTTTCTTATTTCAACTCCCCCAAATTTAAGATTAAGCGATGAAATAATCAGTCATCCACCTGACATCTGAAAATATTTGGCACTGCTTCATTAATTCTGTAATGAAATCTGTACCGTAGTTTTATAACTAGCATATTAACTTGATAACAAATACATACAATGCTCTAAAATTTTCCTAGTAATTGAGTTTCTGATATAGACATAATCTTTCTAGAAAAGTATGATTCAATAAACAATACACTCCTTGCACGTCAAATACACAGCCCTTTGAAATACCACACACAGGTCATCAGAGAGCGTGCTATACTTCTGAAAAAAGGAGACTGTTTATCATTGTATTCACTGCCAGAAAGTTTAACTTCTATGCTCTGTGAAAAACTCATAAAGTTTTCCATAAAGTTGTTTTGCATTAAGAGTCATTTTCCCGAGCCTCCCAGCACTGTCCTCTCACCCGGCAGGTCAGTTTTTTGACTCGGTGAATGACTTCCCCACTGCTGTCTACGACTTCAAGACTCCCACTCTCGCTGGAGTTCTCTGAGGAGTCGTCTTCCACCATGCGCTCTGGGACAGTCCCTGTGACGCGCATCACTTCCACGTGGAGACGCCCTGCAACCTGGGTCAAGGGACCAGAGGGCGCGGGGTTAAAAGGCATCGTGTACAACACAGACGGAGACAGAAAGCATTCTATAAGAACCCTAAGGAGCAGCTGCACAGCTATCACTCGGACATCTCCAGCAAGGAGAGCTCAGCACTCCCGGAGCCAGTCCTTCCCATGCTTGCCCCTCCAATCATCCTGCCTGACTCGGAGCCAAACTTACCTGCCTGGAACTTGCCTTCTGGAGTCATCTTCATTCTTATCCTTCTGGTACAGGATAGCCCACACATAGCTTAAAGACTACTATCATATTCTACCTGGAGTCACCTATTTTCCATGTGTGTATATATTCGTTCACTTATTCATGCTATCCAATACCTGGCTTCTTGGGTATACCAAAAGAAAGACGCAGACTCTGCTGTCAGGGCACTCAGTCAAGTGGGGAAAGACAGAGAAGTAAAAGCCCAGTAACAACAGTGTAGACTAGCTGCTACAACAGAGATGACGTACTGGTTGTTATGGGATAAATTTATCACCTCATCAACTATTTGCCAAGAACTGACACGGTGCCAGGAACTGCACTAAGGGTTGTGTTGACAATAGTGAAGCAAACAGACGTGGTCACTAGGCTCAGGGAGTTTCTATTCTCCTGGGCGTAGAGAATGGGCTGTCATTCCCACTGGAGCTGAGGAGTGAGACCTACTCCAGGAGAAACAGCACGGACATAGCCAGGGAGTTAGAAGGAAACAGTTCCTTTAAAATGGCTTTTCCAAAAAAGGGCTTAAAATGTCCTCACTATCCTAGTGGTTCTCAAAATAGGGGGTAGTTTAATAGTATCTCTCTTAAAGTTGTTGCGAAGAAATAAAAATTGTTGAAATTTGCATCCTCAGAGTTGTAATTGGCCAAGTTATCTTTTATACAACAGTGTGAGGTTGTAATCACTGCAGCTGTGAAGGTGACATGTGTTTTGGCAGAGCCACTGTCATCTTGAACAGTGAGCTTGTTTTTAAATGTAGCTCAGACCCAACTTCCACAGCAATGTGCACTGGCGCCAGGGACCTGGGAGACAGTGGCTGATGGTACTTGACAAGGCAGACAAATAGGGGGAAGTATTATAGTAAGGGGAAGGGAGCAAATAAGAGAAATCGGAAGATAATAATTCTTAAGCTTTTTCAATGCCTTTTGAGAATCTAATACATTTTTAATATAACTTCAGGGGATTCATGGAACTCTAAAGCCTTACATGGACCCTAGCTTAAGAACTCTGACTTAGCCTCTGGATCCCTTTGCCACAGGAGTTGTGCCCATTTTTAACACGAGAAAAAGCAACTCCAGCCCACTGGTCTTCCAAAGCAGAATGTTCATGGGGGGTTGGGGGACAGGAAGAGTACGACATGAAGAAGGCAGGCTGTGTACTTGCACACCACAACTGGGAATCTAGGGTTGATTTTCTAGGTTTGCTTTAGGCAGAATGGCATCCTATTCTAACTAAGCCTGCTCTAAATAATCACAAAAAATAACCTTGCATGTTATTGAAGAACCGATTGATCTCTTTCTCTCTCTCTCTGCTCTCCTTCCCTTTCTCACTCTCTCTAAAAATCAATGGAAAAAATAATCTTCAGATGAGAATTAACCAAAAAATACAAAATATAATAATAAAAGGGGGTAACAATGGGATAGTGAAGCTTGTTTCCTTTGAATATTTTTGGTTTCAAATCTTGTAAAGACCACTTAGAGGCCAGGCGGGAACTAGAGTGTATCACAGAGGTAAGAGATTAAGAGACATGAATGCAGGATACAGAGCAGAATCTGGTTTTCAAAGATTTCTAATTTGATTAAAATAAAAACTTACAAAACAAAAATATAAAATGTGTTATAATATTCTTAAAACCATGACTTAAGGTTGATAGTTTCTACTGATATTAGTAGAGAAAAAAGAATGAGGATTGTGACTCTTTTGCCCAGTTTCTGAATCAACCTCAAGAACTTAAATAGAAAACAAAACAAAAACTTGAACCACCATCAATTTCTCTGGCGCTGGCTTATCTTTACCTCCCCCTGCTGGCTGATGATAGGGACTGCATATTGAAGTTTCACATCACAATAGAGACACTCCAAAAACACATTAGCCACACCGATGAGGTTGTGATTCTCTTGGGCTTCATAGAAGGGGTCACCTCGTTTCCCATAAAGTCTCTTTGCCTGAATGATAGGAGAGGCAGGTAGTCAGCAGACATCAAAATGAAATAAAATGATTTAAAACTAGCATTAACAGTTTAAAAAGCATTTATTCAAACAAATTTAAAAAGTAAAATTAGAATCACATAACAAATAAAACAAAATTAGCACACTGTTAGTTGGAGAACTAAGGGCTATCTGTGTAGAGGATCCTTCTTCAGTTATTGCCTCATCTTCCCTAGCACACCCCACTTGCAGCCTGCTTCATTTCATTCCCCGTGCTTTGCCTCATTTCCTTCACCGAACCTTCTTTTTGACTAATAATGCCCCCAAAGTGAAATTATGTCTCTAAAATTATTCAGAGTAATCTACCCAGTCATGATCACAGCTCGGGGAGCATGAACATATGCTAATGAATATAAAATCCGCACAGACTCCATCCAGCTGACTTCTCACAACACTGACGCAGCAGCACAGATTCTGTTCCACTTTATTTCACTTAAAATGTAGTAAATATGCAGCCAAGTAAGAATACACTGGCTGTCTCAAATTCTCTTCATTTGGTTCTATCTGTGTAGGGATCACATGCTATGTTACTGACTCAGCTTAGCATTCCTTTCAAGGTCACTTTTACTTTTCTTTTTTAACCTCAATGTCCAGAGCACCAGTACAATGATTGTCAGGTGTGAGCACATGAGTGTGTGTGTCTGTGTCCTGACAATTAAATCATTTACACTTTCTGCTTCTAACATGTCCAAGTCTCCTTTACATTTTATCTTTTTTACCTCAGGAACTTTTTCCTTCCATTCTTGATAAAGGTCTCTCATATCAATTAATCTATTCTCCAGCTTCTCAATGGTCCAAACTTGCGTGCCTTTTCCTTTCCTCCTCACTTGAATAGCTGGCTCACTCACTATTGCTCCTCTCTGTAGAATGAAGAAAAGCAAAAGCAAAACAAACTTGTTACAACTTTTTGGATTGTTAAAGCAATACAATACATTATTGTAAAGTAGCAAGTTTAAGAAATATAATATATAAAAAATAATGAAATTCTACCACCTACAGAATATTTTGGTTTATTTCCCATCTTTTATGTATATCAAGGCACATACTTTATTTTTATCAAAATCAGAACCAAACAAAATATGAATTTCCTATTCCATCTCTCTACAGTTTTCATATTATGGTCATCTTCCTGTGTTCACTATTCTTCATACACATGAATTTATAGGTAGCACAGCTACCCATTATCTGGATGGACTACTTTTTTGACTATTTTTATGTGCAATATTATGGCTGTCTCAAATTTTTGCTGTAAAGGACACTGTGATAAGCATCCTTATACAAAAAGCATAATTACATTTTAAATTTAATTCTATGACTACGGACTGAGAACACATTTCTCAAAAGAGAAGAACTTGGTTAAATGACCACAATCCAGCAAGACTGGTGAGACACTCCCTCCCCCATTTCTGTCTTGACAATGAGTGGATGAAGAACTATTCTTTTTCAAAGTTTCTCCTTAAAAAGAAAAATTTTCAAGTTGAACTGATGGGAAACATCCAAATGGTTGCAGAGTGCTCTGTGAATGTAAAAACAGCATACCAGTCTTCCTTTCTTATTCTGAAACTTAAAATATAGTGAAAATGCAGCCAAGTAAGAATATACTGTATTCTATGCAACAAAACATACACCTAACCCTTATTTCAGAAGGGGGCATTTGTACAAGAGAGACAAGCAGGTGGGATTACTTGTACATATTTCTACTTTTATTTTTTTATAAAATTTTAAAAATATTTTATTGATTTTGTACAGAGAGGAAGGGAGAGAGATAGAGAGTTAGAAACATCGATGAGAGAGAGTCATCGATCAGCTGCCTCTTGCACACCCCCTACTGGGGATATGCCCGCAACCAAGATACATGCCCTTGACCAGAATCGAACCCGGGACCTTTCAGTCCCCAAGCCGACGCTCTATCCATTGAGCCAAACCGGTTTCGGCTACATATTTCTAGTTTTAAAGAAAGCATTTAAATTAGCAAACCCTTCAGGCCACCCAAATTCTCATATTCTGATCATAATATATCTAAGGGCATTTATACAAGCGAAGGTCCGTAGCAGAAGTTTCAAGAAGCATGAAGACTCTGGCTCACTTGAGGATCTCCTTGGGGAGTTATCTTGGAGATCAGGTTTACAGTCCATCATACAGGATTCACTAATGCACACCTTGCTCTCATTCTCACCTTTCTATTAGCACTGAGGTTTGTAGCAGGAATCTGCAGAGTCACCTGGTAGTCAGTGAGTTTGCTCATTTCTTCGGCTAAGAAGTTTGCCTCCCTCACCAAGGTGTTAGCCTTAACCAGCTGCTCGCGCAGTTTGGCCAGGCTCTGCCGGAAGAGTTCATCCCTGTGTTGTAGCAAAAAAGGAAATGAGAAAATGGAAAAGCAAAGGAAACAGCAATTTGTTTCTAAGTGAGTCCCCTTTCTCCTCTCAGGGGTCATCTTGCCTGGATGTGGCTCAAGTTAATCATCTCTTTGGTAGAGAGAGATGCAGCATGACTGCAAGAGTCAGAGTAGGACATGTGAAGTAGACTGCTCTGGCTTTTATCTCATTGGCCCAACTTACTAGCTAACCAACTGGCAAGTCATTTAACCTCCCCGCCTCTTTCCTCTTGTGTGAGATGGGGGGTGAAAATGGTAAAATACAGCAGCAGACGTGCAGATTAGATAGATAATAGGTAAAGCATTTAGTGACTGGCACATGATAAATGACCAGTAAATGCCCGATGCTGCTTTATTCCTATTAATTATTATTATTATAACGCAGGAGTTTATTAATGGGTCTATAGACTAACCTGGCTTTTTCAAAATTTGGGCTTTTCATTTACTAGATGGGTGATTGAGATAGACTGAATCATTGATTGGCTGCCTCCTGCAAGCCCCCTACTGGAGATCGGACTCGCAACTAGGGCATGTGCCCTTGACTGGAATTAAACCTGGGACCCTTGAGTCCACAGGCCTATCCACTGAGTCAAACTGGCTAGGGCTACCTCAGTTCTGATATAAATGCTTTAAAGTCATTGCTTCTCAGCTTTTTGGCTAAGATAAATGTTTTAAAGTCATAATAAAAAATTTACATTTAAGAGATTTCTTACCACTAAATTATATTCGAATAGAATCTAAAGTCAGAGAAATAAAAAATAAGGAGAAAGGCTTTTTTGCTAAGAATTATTCAAATGGAGTGAAAATTTCTACCTCCATTTTAATACCTAACTTTCTGAGCCTTCAAACTTGGGATCATTTTTACTGAAGGTAAGGGGGTGGTGGTATGTCTTTAACAACTAACTACAGACATACCTAGGATGGACAATATCCTTGGAAAGGAAAGCCAATTGCTAACAATCCAGATGTGGGACTAAGATTTCCCTCTGTGCTAGGTCTGTCCCCCTTTACATGTCTCACAATCCTCCCCCAAAGCTCCAGGGCCCTGAGCCTTGACTCTGGAGGACTGGGTTCCAGTCTTACCTCTCCTCTGCCCACTGGGTCACCTTCTGCTGAGCGGTCTGGCTGTAGGCCAGGCGGCCAGGGCCGCAGCTCTGGGGCTGCCTCTCCGGGGAGAGCTGCTGGCGGAGCTGCTCCAGCTCCCGCTCATACATGAGCCGCTGCTCCTCGAGCGCACTCCGCTTCTCCTCCAGGTATTGCTTCTCCAGGACCTGCACCACATTTTGAACTGGGTCTGGTGAGTCAAGGGACAAGGCAAGGTGTCTTCAGTGGTGGCTAAGATAGGTGCCCGCCTGTGCGGCTTCAGCAAGAACCTTCCTCTTCCTCCCCCAGAATCCGACCTTCCCATGTGCTCCCTTAAGGGAGGCCTGAGTGGCCCTGTCAGGTAGAACACTCTGAGTTTCCTTTTCACTAACATTTTAGATAAATTTCCTATACGTAAACATGTTACTTGCTTCAATTTGATGAGCTTATCCTAATGTTAAGTCATTAACCTACTATAAGCAGAGAGAAGAGGGGAAGGGGGTGGTGTCCTATACACTGGGGAAAAACGTCACAAAACCGAGGACAAGAGCATAGACAGCCACACAGATCTGATTGTTATGGTAGTGAATTTTTATGCTCACTTAGCATTCAGTTTTGGTACATGACAAAGGGTTTGTATTTCTGATTTTAACCAGAAATCATGCTACGCCTGAATTTCTCTAATGTGAGAGGAACAAAACTTATAGATCATAGCAAAATATTGATTGAGTACAGGGTCGGGAAATTTCTCAGGTGCTAATAACTAAGAGGGCAATTCACTTATAAAAATAAAAGGTTACTTTTTGTAATTTTTTTTTTCCTGCTGCAGATCTAGAGCTCAGCAACGTGAACGTGGGTGAACAGCATAGAGATACTGACAGGCCATGCTCAGAAGGACCATTCTATGACTAGAGGTGGCTGCGATGTAGGTAAGATTTGGTCCTGACGCGTTCCCTGGCTGAGAGAGGACATTCACTTGGTAATGACTAATGAACTCAAAGCCAAGGAGAAAGATTAAGGCACTGACCACATATACAAAAAAGAATGTTACTGGCCTCTCTAAGTAAATAGGTTGTAGGGAAACGGTATGTTAAACCCTCTGGAAAACCACCATCACATAAATATTTCAATGAAGTACAGGGGACCTAGATTAAATGTGCCCATATTCTCAAACTAGCTGAGGCTTAACTTCCTCCTTGTACATGAACACACTTACCTGCTACTAAGTGCTATTTGTGTTGTATTTCTATTTATTGACTCTCAGTTTAACTTCCAAAATAAGAGTGGGAAATTAAGATTTTGTATAACATCTGATAATAGCTACTGACAGACTTTTCCAGATGGTCCTTAACAATTTGGGAAATAAATGTATAAGTTGTACTAATATTCTACATGAGCAGTAAGAGAAAAAAAAAAAGCATATTAGATGAAAAAAATAAGATTAAATCATACATAACAAAAAGTAGAAAGCAATTAAAATATCACAATATGCACAGTGTAGTAAGTTGTTTTAATACAAGTAACAACCGCAATACAGTAATAATTTATTAGCTGCTGGCTATATCTCAAGTAGAGGAATACACTCTATGCGTGCATCATTTCATGAAAGCGTTGCAGAAAACCTAAGAGTGGATATCATTTCATTTTAAAGATGAGGACACTGGGGCTCAGTAAGGTTAAGAAGCTGACCTAAGATCGCATCTGACCTCAGACCAGCGCTAACGGGCTGGGGTAGACATAAACTTAATAATCAATTAGTGTAGTATTCTCACCTCCAATGTTTTGCTCAGAATTAATACTCTCTTAAAGAATACAGGATGGGGCAAAAGTAGGCTTATAATTATTCATACAGAAAATAATACAACAATTAATAACTATTAATACGATAATAAATTCTGTGTTTCACGTACTCATAATTATAAACCTTCTTTTGCCCCATTCTGTATTTTAAAAAAAATTATATCTCTGCTAATATAAAATTCTCAAATTCAGCATTTTTCAAAGCAGAATGGTTTTTTTTATAGAGTCCTGACATAAGGTTCCTAAAATAGTTTTTTGAAAACTGATGGAAAATCAACCACCCCTCTCACCTCATCCCCAGGGGGGGAAAAAAAAGATCCTACAGAAAGGCAGACTATGAGTGGACAAGACATTTCCAATAAAATAAAAATATATGTATCCCAAAGCATAGAACTTCTGACATAACCTAAAACTTCTGAAAAAAAATGTGAATAATATGATGAATTTTTAAAAGGGATTCTGTAAGAGCTAGAGAAGGAAAGTTCTTTTAGAATTAAAAAAATATATTTTTCAAATAGTACATTTTTAGTGCTCTATTTAGATTTTAGGTTTAAAAAGTACAAAATTAGGTCCTCATTATCCATTTATATTTATGCACAGCCTTATTTTCAAGAGTTCAACTTAGTGTTTACGAATCTTTTCTAGAGAGACAAAACTGGAAAACACACCATTCTATAAAATTATATGCTAGAGTTTTTGCTAAAACACTGAATAAGATACTTAATCTTTATTTCTGCTTGTTGGCCCGTGGTGTGTAGAAATGCACATGATCCTAAATGACTGAAGCAGAGGGATTTTGCCCCAAGGTTCCACACCACACAGAGGCATGTGATGGATGCTGCTTACACTGCTGTAGCAGCTGCCTGACCAACACCCCCAGCACTCACTAGGCTCTGTCAGTGGCAACAAATCAATGTGCAGATACTGAGGATGGAGCCACCAAAGCATCCCTCCCCCTCGCCTGCCCCACCACAGCTGGTCAGGTGAGCCCTGACGGGGCCTCTGGGTCTGGCCATGCTACACAGCCCTGGTAGAGGTACAAGGGGCTGAGGGTGTTCTTTTTAAACTTCTGATCCTAACACATGTCTGGAAACACCGTTCTCTTACATATATTTGACAATATTTCCTCTTCAAATTAATTAACCAGTTTCAAGCCTGTATCAGTACCCATATTTAAAAAAAAAAAAAAATAGATCACCCTAATCAGCAAGTCCATCTGACTCTATAATATAGCCTAGGACAGAAACCAAAGAGTATTTGGTTTATTCTCAAATGACCAATCAACTACCAAGAGAGTGTCCACAGTTTTAATTCCCCCTATCACTTTCCTCCTTTTGAATGAGCTGTTTTAAAACTCAGTGAGCCTGGCGCCTAAGGCCAAGATACCAAGAGGCTGGTATTTTAGGAAAAGAAAAGGGACCACAGTGACTTTGGGCAGAGCACTTCTCTTCTTTATTAGTTCATTGTTTCCCTGGTATGTAACTATGAAATGAAATGAGCTCAAACTTACTTGTCTGTCCCAAGAATAGAAAAGAGGGTAGTGGTGAAGGTGGTAGTAGCTGGAGGGCTTTTAAGGGATAAAGAGAATTAAGATTCATTCACACCGAGAGGCCCATGGCACTAAATTGAAGGGAAGTAAATCCCTTTGGGAGAAAAACCTTTTAATCCCAGATGGAATAAGTGGGCTCTTTGACCCTTCACTACCCCTTAACTGCGCTTTAGAGCTACCGTCCACTCTGTGAAATGAGATGGGTGTCTGATTCCTAATTGTGAACCCTTCGGAAGAAAGCATTATTGTTTACAGACACTAGATTTGCTTTTACTCTTGATTCAAATGAACGGAGTTTTGATCATTATTTCCTCTGGTGACTCGAAAATACATTATTCTAATAGTCTGTTACTGGGATAATGCAGGTAAATGTATGTGTAGGAATAAGACATTTTGATTGCTGAGCTGTCAACAGTAATGAAGCCATCAGCAGCAGGAGCAATACATAATACCAGTCACACGTGTGCTGTTGGATGCCGAGGGAAAAGAATAGCTACCAGATTGTAACTATGGGGAAAGTAGTGGAGCTGGGACATGGGGAGGCAGGAGTCTTAATTAAAAAGGGAATATCCCTTAATCAAGAATACAGAGTACCACTGGCAGGCAGGAAAGGTCAGCTTCCCAATCACGTTAGCTTTTGCCAAAGCACAGAGCACAAGCATCACTCAGGAGCACCGCCCAAACCCCGTCACGCTCCCTCATGCTAATGCCAATCAGTTAAAACCTTTATCCCACTGTTTGTGGAGCAGCTTCGTCTGAAACCACAGGAGAGGGAAGAGAATCTTCAGATAGGACCACCAAGGGGACGACCACCAGGCAGACAGGCTTATCACCGGGAAGCCACCTGGCAGCAGAGGGGCATCGCATCAACACTGTCCAGCCGCCCGCGTTGCCAATCTGTGTGCCTCACAGGGAAGCCCATTTACCAATGGAACCGGGTAACCCATGGGGAGGGGAGGGGAAAACATTACTTTCAAACAATCAACACTGGAGAGCAAGGCCAGATCTGGAATACACATGAGTAACTCATGTTAATGCCGTGAGCCAGGCCACTGAGGACTAACTGGTTTGGCTGAAGATTGAAGGAATGAATGAATGCTGACTAAACTCTCACTGGCTATTCAGGGGTTCACTATGCATATGACAAGAACACAGCAATCAGATTAAATCAGAAACCTGTGAGACGGGATGATACAGGATTCAATTGATATTCTGCAGAGTTAGAGGATCGCGACATCTAGAATTCTGCCACCTCCTTGAATTACAGAATGGGAGTTCCTGCACCTGGAGTTTGGAGGATGGCCTCCTGTCACACTCCTGTCCCTCCGGGCCTCTAAACATCATTCCAGGGAGGCTTGTTGCTCAGACAGGTTGTTAAACGACCTGTTAATGTGATCCCCATGCCTGAATGTCTGGAATTCTCCCACCTGGTGAGCAAGTGGCAGAGTGGACTGAAGAGTGATTTGTAGCTGAGGTCCACCCTGTGCTGCAGTGTCCAAAGCTCCAAGAGCTAATTTAATCTCTAATGTAAACGTTTAAAAGGAGAAATTACCAAACTTCAGTAATGAAGTTAACTCTCCCTTTCCTTTTTTGCTGCTGCTAGACTGCGACATTTCTCAATCTGGCCTTTACCTCATTTTACCTCATTTTTATAATGAAAAAAGAGGGGTCCTTGAGGCTGAAAATTCAGAGAGATAACAGATAAAAATCTTTTTGAAAAATTTTATTTATTGATTTTAGAGAGGAAAGAAACATTGATTTGTTGTTCCACTTATTTATGTATTCACTGGCTGCTTTTTGTATGTGCCTTGACTGGGGATCGAACCCACAACCCTGGCATATTGGGATGACACTATCCAACTGAGCTAGCTACCCAGCTAAAGCCAAAGATAAAAATGTTTATTCTTGCAGCAGAATCTCCAATATGATATGCCAGAGCAACTATTCACTAGCCATATTCAAATTCTCCCCAGATAGCCTTATTCAAAGAGTAGAGTGAGGAAATAAATATTGACTATGAAAACCAAAATACTCTTTAAGCAGCCTGTCAGATAAAGGTTACCCATCATAGGGCTCTGAGGGTTACTGGGGTCCCTTCTTCGTTCAAGCTGGGGATCATCAAGTATCCAAAGAACAGGTGAACGGGAAAATTAGGTTGGACAAAGTCCATAAGCCAACCTGCTCAGATGCTCCTGAAAGTAGCCTCAACTATATCCCTGCAAAATAGTCCAGGTTTTAGAAATGCAGTCTGTTGCAAGAGAACTTTCCTGTTCTGCATCTAGTTCCCAGGTACTAAGTGTGGTGATTGGAAGACTAGGAGATGGGAAAAGAAAAGAGCAGATTTATAAAACAGCAAACAAGGAAAAATTTAGTGTGTATTTTACTGAACTCATAAAAGTGTGTATGAATACAGGAAAAAGGAGGTAAAGAACAGATAGGAAGAACTTTAATATAATTGTTGAAAAACTTCTGGAAGGAGAGAACCAGAAATAATGCTTTAAAGAGAATCCCTCCCTCTAAGATCTGAGACAGGCTGAGCATAGGTCAAGCAAAGAGCCCATAAAGGCTTTTGTTTTCGCCATCATTTAAAAATAACTCTCTTTGGAGGTATCATTCCAAATGAGTTTATAGTAAAGTGTGGCTTTTATCTCTCCATCAAACTCTATTTGGATTCCAGGATTAGTACTCTCCTGGTGATTTTTATGCTCTGAAGGACTCAGAAATGACAGGCTCACCAAGGGGAAATTTGATAAGGAATTCATCACAGTCACTCAGTACTCTAGGACCATGGAAATCTTACCACAACTGGCTTGGAAACAAGAGGTCTCAAAAAATCCCACCCTCTGCCTGGTTACACCTGAGGGAGCCAACCAGGCCCTGCAATACTCCCATTCACCCCTCACATATGGCCTTTTTAAGGAATTAGCAATTTGCTGTGCCTCAGTGTTCAGGATGGCACAATAACTTTACACATATAGTACTTATTCCTCATTGAATGCTGTGAGATAAGGAACTGCCCAAGACAAAGAAATCTGAGGCCTTACCGTTACTATTCAGTGTTTTCATGATAACCTCCATCTGTGCAAATTCATAGTTATAGTCTGGTTCCGAAGAAGCTTCACTGGCTGCATCCAGGTCATGCTCCGGAGGCCCTGTTTCTTTTTCGAAGTCTTTCAACCAATCTCGCCGTTTCCTCTTAGGCAAATTAATTCTGTGGGGTTTTTCACCATTAGAGAAAATTAACTTGCTTTGCTCTCAGATAACAGAAAAAAAATGTATATGAAAATATTAGTGAACACAAAGATGTTACCTAAAAAAGTGGTTATTTCCCCACAGGATTCTATCACCGTGCCATAGCTGGGTGGTACTGCACACGAGGGTACCATTTACACAGGACCTGAAGGAACACCAGGAAAAATGTCATCTGAATGGTAAAAAACACAAAACCCAGTCCCTGTAGCTAAAGAGATTACTGGGGAGACTTGCTGATAACAGGAAAGTCTAGGACCAACAAGTAGGCATCTTCAACAAATTAAATGCAAAAAAAGGGGGGGGGGTAGTGTGAGGGGAAGCATCCATGGGCTAAAAGAGATGTAAGAAACACAATAATCAATGACAAATGGTTGACTCTTATTTGGATCCTGATTTCAAAAAACAACAGAGAAAGAACATTTATGGGAAAATCTGAAACTGACTGAATATATAATGTTAGTAAGAAATTACTGTTATTTACTTTAGGTATAATGGTATTAGAGTGATGTTTAAGAATATTCATATTTTATTTTTTTAAAAATACATTTTTATTGATTTCAGAGAGGAAGGGAAAGGGAGAGAGATAGAAACATCAATGATGAGAGAGAATCATTGATCAGCTGCCTCCTGCACACTCCCTACTGGGGATTGAGCCCGAAACCCAGGCATGTGCCCTTAATTGGGATTGAACCTGAGACCTTTCAGTCCACAGGCAATGCTCTATCCACTAAGCCAAACCAGCTAAGGCAAGGATATTCATATTTTAGAGACACAAGCTGAGAAATTTATGAATGCAAAGATGTAACATCTTAATTTGCTTTAAAATAACCCAGAGGGGAGGAAGGAAGAGACTGAAGACATATAAATAAAGCAAAATTGTCTACGATGTGCTCATTTTGAAGCTGGATTACAGATATATGGGGTGCATTATACGATCTTTTTACTTTCATATCTTTAAAATTTTCCATAAGGAAAAAAAATACCATGTTTAAATCCCAAATAGTAACAAAACATCTTGTGAAGCAAAACAAACAAATCCAATGTCCTACTGGATATCTCCTGGTCGTCATCTCAAGAACACTTCAAAATATCCCAAACTGAACTCATTACCATTCAGACTATCATCCTCCAAATGTATTTTTCCTCTTGTACTTTTTATTTTGGTTTAGCCGCTCCACTGTTTATGTTTATCTGGTCCCCAAGATAAAATCCTGTAATCGTGGTTGACTTTCCTTTTCCTTCACTGACTGAGTCCCTACTCTGTCCCCAAACAGATCAAGGAAACTTTCTGACTTTCAAATAATTCTCAATACATTTGTTCTTCACCTCTACTGCCACTTTCTGTGTACCCATAGCAACATTATAATAAATATCTTAACTGACCACCCCACACTTCCACTCCTACAAACACCCCACACTGCTGCAGTGATCAGATTTGCAGGTTATAAAGATCACTTTGGAAAAAGCACTTATCTTCCTGTATTATAATTGCTTCCTATGAAATATTGCTTTTATATATTCTCTTCCACCAGGCTTTGAATTCCTATAGTTGGGCATTCCCAGGACAGAGCCTGGAGCATGCAGAATGAGTGAACTGTTACCCTGAGGTTCCAGGAAGGGAAGGGAACTGTTACCCTGGACAGGATGGGAGAAAAAAAAAAGAGTAGAGTAAAAAAACATGAAATTGGAAATAAAACTGGGTAAAATAATTTGCTGATTAAAATCATTTTTTAGATACAGTGGTTGAAGAGAATATGACTAAGCCATCATGTTGCACACTATACATATATATAATTTTACTTGTTAATTAGGGACCTGATGCATGAAGTTTGTGCAAGAGTATGTCTTCCTTTCCCTGGGTGCTAGCACCCAGGACTGGGTTTTCCTCAGGCACCCGGGACCCAGGCATCCCTCATAGCCCCAGCTTTGTCAGGAAGGACATCTGGTTACTTGGCATATTATGCTTTTATTATTATAGGTTATCTATACATTAAACCCTAATATGCAAATAGACCAAACAATAGAACAACCAGTCACTATGACATGCACTGTCATATGGGGTGCACATGGAACATAGTGGCCATCAGCAGCAGGTGGCAGAGCGCAGAACATGGTGGGCATTGGCTGCATCGGGATAGTGGAATAGGTGAGCAGGGGCACCAGACCAAAGTGGGGCGCCAGTCACTGTCATTGGAGTGAGCCTCTATTGGTTTAGTGAAAATTCTTTGCTCCCGTGTGCAACAGTCCCGCCAGATGCTCACACTTGCTGCTGGTGCTGGCCCCACTTGTACCCTGCCAGCACTAGCCCCGCTTGCACTCGCAGCCAGCGCTGGAGCTGCTGCTTGCACCTGCTACTGGTGCTTGGTGACGGTCCCAGTCGCTCAGCACCATTAGCAGATGTGAGCGGTGGCTGCGAGGAGGCAACCAATTGATATTTCTCTCTTGCATTAATGTTTTTCTCCCTTTCTTTCTAAAAATCAATAAAAACATATCTTCAGGTGAGGATTAAAAATACACTCAGAGCCTCTAATGGAGGAGGATTCAGTATAAGGCTAAAGACTATTTGAACTTGGAATAAGTAAAATTAAGGAATAGTATCATCTTACCATTAAATATTTTAATAATCACCCTATATAATAAAGAGCTAATATGCTTATTAGACTGAACAGCAGAACGACCGTCCAAATGATCTTCCAGATGACCATCCGATGACCTTCCGGACGAGGCCAGGGCTGTGAGGGCCAGCCGGGGCTGTGAGGGCCAGCCGGGGCTGTGAGGGTCGAGCCCTTTGCACGAATTTTGTGCTGTGGACCTCTAATATCACTATAAGATCCATAAACGTTCATGCATCAGGTATGCTATTATTGGTCTCAGCTTTTTATCACTTAGACATTTATATGGCCAATATTAAGAGAATAATTTGAAATGAGTAAAACATTTTCCTCATAAATATGAATGTCCTGAATTACAATATGTATGTTAATGATTATCTTTTAATAGGAATAAAAATGTAAATATATTGTCTTGTCAATTCTCAACTTTTTACATATTATAATTTTTCAAAACACTGGAGCTGTTTAACTAATTTTTATACAATGGTTAAACTGAGTAGCAACCAATTTTATTCAATATTTATTATGTGTCATGCACTGAGCCACGGGATTTATGTTTGTCTACCATTAGCCTCACTAACCAAAGGAGGAAACTGAAGTTTAGATAAACAATGTGTGTTGTCCAAAATCCGCCCAGTTAGTCAAGGCAGAATCACCAGCCCCGAAGCTGGGGCTATCCCAGCTCTATAACTGGAAAGCGATACCCGAGGACCCACTGTAGCCTTAATTTCGACATAAGTGAGGTACAAAGATAGAAAGGGCAGTCTTCTCCTTCTGAAAACAAGGCACCCAAGCTATGTTCGGTACCACTCACTTTCCTTACCGGGCATTTTCTTTCGGAGTAAGAGTGATGTCACCATCGGGTGCGATGTCAATCTCGCAGTGCTCAGGCTGGATTCCAATGCCAAAGAGCTGGATGTCCTGGGAGGTGTCTGCTCCCACCCTCGTGTGGTCCTAGGACAGAGTGTTACAAAATAAAAGCCGCTCCCTTTCAGGAGCACTCCTAGTGCAGGTCTCCCTCTTCCTTTCCCGGGTGCATTCCCTTTGCCTTCCCCTCTCCTAAGCTCCAAGGGCCCTTCTTTTGCTTCTGTAACTTGTTTCTTGAGCCTATGCAGCCCAACTAGCTCATTTCTACTACCTATGTAACTTTCTATATAAACTTTTTTTTATAATTTGAATTAAAAAAGTAAAAACCCACACTGACAAGTAACTTAACAAAAACTTATCAGAGTCAACTTCAATAACCCAACAGCAACTACATGACAATATTAACCCAATATTAACCCAACAGCAACTACATGACAATATCAGACAGGAGATGCAATATGTCTAGAGCATTGTAAGTAAAAGCTTACCTTAACATGCTATATTTAAAAAAAAATGTTAAAACAGGATTAGGAGGTATGTTCAACAATGATTAGATACTGTTTTAAAATACTAATATAAGGAATTCACACTTGACAGAATAACTTCTGTTTTGATTTTAACTCCACAACTTAGTACGTATGTGGTCACAAGCAAGCCATTTCACTGAGCCTCAGTTTCCTTTTTTGCAAATCTAGATAATGATATCAATTTGATATATTTAACAGGATTCTTTTAAGGATCACCTGAGTTAACAGTGGAAGTGCTTTGAAGACAATTATATAAATTCAAGACTCACCAAAAGTAATTTCATGAAAAGTTATACTTTAAAATGTATAACTTTTAACATGTTAAAAATAGATGAGTATCTACTACTAATAGAGTAATGAAACCTGTAAGTTATACAATGTTTAAGTTAGTGTAGTGTGTAGGATCTCAAACCTCACATATACGTGAACTGTGATTCCTAGTTATTTGGACCACTGCTCATTCCCTTTGCTTTTACTTTTGCTCTAAAAATCATTTAACTGTTATGATAATAATACCTTCCATTCTACTGAGGGAGTATAAGACCTAATCTCTTAAAATTAAGATTTCAGAAATAATTCCTTTACCCTTAACTATTTCTTGAATGAACAGATCCTAAGTGTTACTGGACTATCAACAAGTCAGGTATTATTTGTGGTGTGTTATGTCTCTGGAAAAGCAGAATTAAAAGGAGGATAGAAGACTGACCTCCTTGCTTCAAATCTAGTTTATTCCCCATTGCATTCTGTATATTCACCAGCAAGATCAGAATCCTTAACAAGGTGCCTAATCTTCACAAGGGGTAATTTCTCTTTATTTAGAGATTTATGTGTATGGACTGTATATACAAGCTGCCTTCAAGTCTTTGACAATTAATTATTTAAATATGTATATACATGTATTTATGTACCACCATAACTCAGAAATTGTTTGTATATAATGAAAAATGGCTTCATGCTCAGCTGAGTGCCCCATGTCTTACTTTTCCCTTAACAAAATATGCTAGCATTTTAAAAAATATGATTTGAGAACATGTGGGGTCTCTGAGAAACATTCAAGGGGCTCATGAGGTCAAAACTATTAAAAAAAAATACTAAGATGCTATTTGCCTTTGTGCTCTCATTTTATCACAAGTACACAAATGTTTTCCAGAGGCTGAGATGTCATGGCTTTCAAGATTAATGGACTGTATATTTGTACATGTTTGTATTTTTAAATGGTCTCTTTATTAGCTAATACAGTAAGTATAGATATAATTCTGACACACAAAAATTCTTTGGAGTCCTTCATACATTTTTAAAGAGTGTAAATGGGTTGTGAAAGTTTGAGAATGGATACAGTAAGCTATCCAACATGGTCAGTGGCATACCCTGGGGCCAAAGTGCCAAATTCAAAAGGCCCCATCCCTTCTCCACACTAAATGGGTGATTTTGGGACTAAACATTATTTTCTGAAGATGTATGTCTAGGAGAGAAAGACATGGAAGAATCTTAACTGTCTAATCTACCACAAGAGTTTGTTTTAACTTAGTATGTTCATCTTGAGATCGCCTTAGAATTACTCAGAAGGATAACTGTGACTCTCCAGAACTTCTCAGGATCTCTGATTGAACCTGAATATTGTCAGCATCCGTGTCGCCACAGCCAGAGATCACCTACCTTGACACCCCCAGTTGCCCACTACTGCCCCTCTGATGCTCATGCTCACAGAAAACCAGTCCCACCTGCATGACCTCAGGAAAATACACAATAGCTGGTTTTCATTCTCAATAGTGACCTGACCATACTACGAATCCTCTTACTTTTAAGGAGGGCTACACTGGATACGAAAATCGAAATCACGGGTATAGATCCGCAGATTAAATTTCGAATTGTACACGAATGAATCAGGATTGCAGCTATGTACTTATATACCTTCTTACCTTTAAATAGTAAACCAGAAGTTCATTGAGAGCAGGGTCTGCATTCAGGTTGACCAGGTAGCACTTGTCATCGCCCACCTTAATACCAGATGTTTCCAGGGAAATCCCCATACTTTCAAGTTGTCGTTGTCTCTCCTGTGCACAAAGCACACAAAAACAGGGAACTCTATTTGTTATACCCAGATGTATCCATAGAAAGTGTAAGTCACTGTTTCTGGGGACAATGCCAATGAAATTACACATTCCACTCAGCTTAACCAAGTTTACTTACAGTCTAAGATGTGTGACATCTTGTGCCAGTGTCCTAGGGGCACCAAGGGTGAGCCAGGCACCATCTTGCCCTGATAGGCCTTATCAGCTAGTAGAGGGGGAAGACTACATAACTGGAATCAGAAGAGGAGAGAGAGCCCTGTGTCACTAGAGAGGAAGAAGGTGCTGTGGGCTTTGCAGGAGAGAGGTCATGATGAGTGAAGAGGCCAGAAAGGCTCCAGGAAGAGAAAAAAAATTAAGGTAGTTCTTGAAGCATAAGAAGAGTTCCAACGGGAAGAAATAAAGGAGTAGGAAGATAAGGGCAGGATATTCCGGGGGAAGGGCACAGAAAAGCATAGTGAAGACTTTGGGAATACTGGAGGATTTCAGTTGCCAAGAACCCCTAGTAAATATGGGAAAGTAGTGAGAAATGGGTCTGGAACAGCAGATTGGGTCCCTAATGCAGAGGGCTTTGAATTCATTCATTCATTCACTCACTCACTCATTCAAAATATTCATGTACTAGGTACTGATCTAGGGCTAAGAATACTACAGCAAACAAAACAAAGACCCCTCTTTTATGAAAATTTATATACTAGTGAAAGGAGATGAGCCATTAAAAAACAGATGAGAGAATATATATAATTTCCAATGGAGTTAAGTGCTATGGAAAAATATAAAGAAATGTAAGAGGAATAGGAGGTGTGACAGAGACAAGTAAGCATGTCCTTACCACTTAGATATCACAAGGCAGGAAAAAAAATATATGTAAGAAGCATATAAGCAAACAGCTGGCTAGGTCCCAGTTACTGCTTTTAAGCTACTTGATTGGGAAAGACAGATGTAGAATTAGTCCTTGCTTTGTATTTCATCTCAGGTCAAGTTAGATAGCATCAAGCCCAAAGAATCATATACATTGAACAAACTATGATGCTCTCTATGTTACCAACTCTCGGTCTATCAGGTAGCCATGTGCTATGTCAAGTGATCTAAAATCAGAACAGATTTTTGTTTAAATGTGAAAAGCAGGAAATATTAAAGATATTTCTGCCCTAGCTGGTTTAGCTCAGTGTATAGAGCCTGTAGACTGAAGAGGACCCGGGTTTAATTCCAGTCAAAGGCACATACCCGGTTGCGGGCTTGATCCCCAGTAGGGGATATGCAGGAGGCAGCAGGATCAATGATTCTCTTTTATCACTAATGTTTCTATCTCTCTCCCCCTTCCCCTTTCTCTCTGAAATCAATAAAAATATATTTTAAAAAAATTTCCTGTGTCATCCCTGTTCAAATTCAGTGCTATCCAACACTTCTAGCAAATGCATGGACCAAACTATACTTGGTCAAAGACACAAAGCCAGTGTCTAACTGGTCTCTGCAGCCTGTAGTTCAGTAGAAGGAGGTCCTCAAAAGACTTTCTGAGGATGGCAAGTGACTCACAGTACAGAAAAGACAGCACATGGAAACAAATCACAATGTTTCAGGCCTACACGATCAAGCTACCTGTGCAATTTCTTCTGTTTTCCTCAGCTTCTCTTCCCAAGTCACTGTTAGTTCTTTTATCAGCTTTTCAGACTCTTCAAGCTTCTCTTTCAGTTCAGGGGCCTTCATAGCCTTTAAAATGAAACCAGAGCAATCTGATTTTCTAATATTTTTTTCACCATTATAACAAGACAATCACTTATTGTCCTTCTTAAGCGATTATCAACAGTCTGTTGGAAGCAATTAAGTCACACACTGTCAAGGTGGAGTTTAGACCTTGATTAATCAAATGAAATGTAAGAGGCAAATGACTGCTATTATTTAAAGGAGAAAAAGAAATACTAGTGCCCTGAATTAAATTGATACAAATCATTACAGAGTGATTTTACCCATTATACTTAAATTTCACATTTAAAGACTTAAAAGATACTAAAGTTCATCTTCAAAACAGAAAGTAAGAAAAGAGGTTACTTAAGCAGATTTCTTTTTCAATAAGACAGAGATCAAGGCACATCACCAATAACGGCATTCCTATTGACCTATCAGGAAAGGTGAAGATTCTTCTAACTTATTTTAAAATTTGAATCGGGCCCTTTAAACTACTTTTCTTATTGAGGGCATAAACTTGTGTATCTATTAAGCACTTGGAAGCCAGACATCTGGTTAAAGAAGCAGTCATTTCCCTCTGAGTTTGTCCAATAAGAATAACTAAGTGATCTAAATACAGATATATGCAGCTTGTAAATCTTGGGAAGCCTTTACTTGAAACAATACACTCTGACATCCAATGATAACATCAGTGTAATTCTATGAACCCTATGAACAAGAAAGATGGTAGAGCTTGGACCAGAAGTTGAAGGGGCGATGATCTCCCTGGTGGCTAGCCCAGTATGCCTGAGTCTCAGTATGAACAGAGCCTGAGAGGGACATTTGGTGCTGGAGACACACGTGAACATTCTAGGTGAATCTGCTGTGGCTCCTCTCTCCTTTGGCTAGGCACTGTGCTGCGCACCAGGCCTTGAGGCCATGGTCACAGTGAAATGGCAGATTCAGAGACCAGAGGAAACAAGTAGAGTATCCATCTTAAACTAATTCCAGACACATCACACTTTCCTCCCAGGATCAGGAAGGACTTTTTTCAAGGGTTATAAGCATCTTGTTTTTTCAGGTGTTTGCTACCCTTCATGGCATCAATAGAAAAACATTATGCGTGATGCCCTGACTGATGATTATAATGATGATAATAAAAACAACATGTGTTGGGCACTTATGTGCAAGGCATTGTGCTAAGTGCCTTCCACTATCAGTGTTTTAGTAGGGGTTAGGAATGAAAAAATAAAACATAGGTGTTTTTTTTGAATTATAGAAGCTCACAGTCAGAGAGACGAGAAAGACATGTAAACAAAAAATTATAATACAAATGCCAATTAATTAATGGAGTACTCAGATCTCTGGCTTCATTCCTTTTTGTTTGTGTTATCTCCTTTTGATTACTTTTGTGATTAAATACACCAATAAATAAAAAGTATTTAAACAGTGCCTGGTACACAAGTACACAAATACTCTGCCCTGATAGTCTCCTAACCACCAGAAGAGGGTGGTGTGATGGAATGGTGTGAACTCAGAAGCATTAGATACACACCCAAATCCAGCAAGTGGAAACATGTGACTTCACCTAAGGAACTTGGCTTCATCTCAGGCACACTACCTATTTCAAAGAGGACAGTGCCTCACCCAGTAACATGCCTCACCCAAAAAGCAACAGCTATTTGGAAGAGGATGTGATTATTAGTCTGGGTAAAGTCGAGGAAAATGGCAACAATGCATCATTTTGTTTCCTCTCAGGAGCTAATACAAAATTTTAAAATACGTATTTCTGAATTGTTCTTAATATTTAATTATCCTTGATCATGCTATCTTCCATGACTTAAGATGGAGATGACACACAACTAACTTATCCGAAAACTGCAGAGCGCTTTGGGAATACTGTCTACAATATTAATAAAACATCACAATTGGTTCTTAGGATTTCACGCTGGAAGAGATCTGTGCTCTCAAGGACCACTGATTTCCTGCAGCAAACAACTAGGTAGTAGCAACAACTCTCTCTTAATTATCTGCTTCCTCCTTGGACAGAAGGCTTGTATTACTCATGTTGTCCTCACAATGCTTAGCATGCAGCAGATGCCAATCAACACTGAAATGTTGATCCACACGAAGATGACCCAGAACTGCAAGCATGTCCTTACCACTCAGATATCACAAGGCAGAAACTCTGAAAACAGGAGCACCAGGCTGATTTTTTACTTTTAAATTATAGTTGACTTACAATATTATACTAGTTTCAGGTGTACAATATAGTGAGAAGACATTTATATACCTTACACAGTGTTCACTGCAATAAGCCTAGGACTCACCTATCACCATAGTTATTACAATATTATTGACAATATTCCTTATAATGTACATTACCTCAGCCTGCGAGAGCTGCTCTCTCAGTTTCTCGACTTCCTCCCGCAGTTCCCGGATGACTTTTGCATTGGGATCCTCATTCACAACGGCATGATTAACAATCCTTTTGGCTCGATCTGCATATCGCAATGTAGAGAGGGTCTCTTCATAGTTGTCTGCTGCTGGGCTAATGGTGGCTATCATAGAGGTCTGGCTGTTGCCTCCCAAATTGTCCTGCAAAATTTCAAACAGCATGTTAGGAAATAGCACTTCATGCACAACATGTATGATGAAAGTAGTAAACATACATGCGTGACACTATGGAAATAAATGGGTTTGTATTTCACAAATAATTTTATGACAAGATGAAATATGGTCTCTCTATATTCACAACAATGAAAAATGTCCATCAAACATTACCCTGTATAATAAAGAGGTAATATGCAAATTGACTATCATTCCAACACACAAGATGGCAACTCCGATGTGGTCAAAGATGGCCACCCCCATGTGGACACAAGATGGCCAGCAGGGGAGGGCAGTTGTGGGTGATCAGGCCAGCAGGGGAGGGCAGTTGGGAGGGATCAGGCCTGCAGGGGAGGGCAGTAGGGGTGACAGGGCTGGCAGAGGGGAGCAGTTGGGAGGACCTGGTCTGCAGAAGAGGGTAGTTGAATGGGGACCAGACCTGCAGGGGAAAGTTGGGAGGGACCAGGCCTGCAGGGAAGGGCAGTTAGGGGTGATCAGGCCTGCAGGGGAAAGCAGTTGGGGGGGTACAGGCCTGCAGGGGAGGGCAGTTAGGGGCAATTGGGCTGGCAGGGGAATGGATAGGGGGTGATCAGGCTGGCAGGCAGGCGGTTGGAAGCCAGCGGTTCTGGATTGTGAGAGGGCAGTCGGACATCCCTCAAGGGGTCCCATATTGGAGATGGTGCAGGCTGAGCTGAGGGACACCTCCTACCCCCACCAATTTTATGTACCACACCTCTAGTAATGAGATAAAAGGCAATGGAAATTAGTTTTCATTCTATGTTCCTAGGAAATGGGATAGCAATACAATACTGTCAGGTGTTCATTGTATATTTAGCTTTGCACACACATTTCAGCTGTCACCTCTGACACAGCTAATTTTTAATTGATAAAATAACTTTGGATGCTAAATTACCTTAAGAAGCCAAGTGAGGACTGAATCTCGATAAGGCACAAATTTGTTTTTACCCTTGCCAGCTGCCTGGTCAGCCAGTGATGAGATAACTAACCCCAAGGTTGTCAGTGATCTGCCAAGACAATAATTTAAAAATTAGTTTTATAGAATGTTTATTTTGTTTTCACCAATCCTTGTAAGTAATAAGTATAAAATATGCAGAATAAAACCCTAAAGTTGATACAATCACGTCTACGTTAATTTGCCAAGAAGCTGAGATAAAGAAAAACAAAAAATAACTCTGTTAATTTAAAATAATGAATTTAGAATTCCTATAAGAATTTCTTCCGGTGAATTACAGGACCTGTCCATACAACAGAGAATTACTGGCTATAAAAGAGGAATGATATAAGCTACATGAATGAACTTTAGGAAATTATGTTAAGTGAAAAAAGCCAAACACAAAAGGCCACTATCCTGGGTTGAATAGTACCCCTCCCTCAAATTCATGCCCACTAGAACCTCAGAATGTGACCTTATTTGGAAATAGGGTCCTTGCAGATGAAAGTAGTTAAGGTAAGATCATACTGGCTAAGAGAGGGCTCTAAACCAAGGATGGTGTCCTTAAGAGAAGGCCATGTAGAGAGAGACATGAAGAATAGCATGGGAAGTCGGAGACAGATTGCAGTGATGCACCTACAAGCCAAGGAATGCCAGTGACCACTAGAAGCTGGGAGAGAGGCATAAAACACATTTTCCTTCTGAGCCCTCAGGAGGAACAAACTCTGTCGATCCTTGATTTTGGATATCTGGCCTCCAGAACATAAGAAAGTAAAGTTTGCAACCTAATTTGTGGTAATGTGTTATATATGTAAAAACCTAGGAAAATAATACAGTCACATATTACTCAATTCCACTTACATGAAATATCCAGAACAGGCAAATCTATATAGACTTAGGACTAGGGATGGGGCTAATAGGGAATGATTTGGGCATGAGGTTTCTTTTGAAGTGATTAAAATGTTTTAAAATTAGATTGTGGTAATCACTGTACAACTCTGAACATAATAAAGTATTAAACTATACATTTTAAATAGGCAAATTGTTTTATGTGCATTATTTTTCAATGTAGCTTAAAATTTTTTTTAATTAATGAAATAAGTTCAATAATCTTCCTAAAGCTAACAACTTTAAGAAAGAAAATTGCATATGATATGTAAGAAATAGAGGAAAGTAAGAATTCAATTGAAGGCAAAAATTAATTTCTGCTTGAATATAGAATATAGGGCATTTTCCACATTTTATAACTATTGAAAAAAATTTTTTAGTTGAAAACAATTCTCTGAGCTATCCCAGATTTTTAATACACCAAATGAAGCAGAGGTTGTTTTAATTCTTACAAAATATAAAGAGCTCAGTGACTAAAAGGTCATCATTAGCAACTTTATGGTTCACAATGGCCCTTTATGTGAAAACATGTTTTGAGGTTGTCATGGATTTTTCATCATTGAACTAAATTTTATGTTGTCTTGTGGCAAATACTTATAGTTCCTAATCTGACAGTGCAGAGAGGAAAAAAGGAAAGTTTCTGTCACTCCTAAACATAAAACATAAAATCAAATGAGTGATCTGAGAAAAACTCCACTGTACCATGTGCTCTCTGGGAGCCCAGCGCAGCATGTGTGCTCAGGAGCAGGGGTGGAGCTGGATGGGAATTACACAACTCCAGTTACTGCCTGAACTTTGCTCTATACCTTATCTAGTTGGAGAAGTTTCTCTTTAGGTGAAGCCACACCTCTCTAGCTAATAGTGTGCACACATTCAAAACAAGAACGTATTAGGGTCTCCTTGGAACAAACTGAAAAGAATTATAGGATAGGTGGGACTTCAGGATGAGTGAGAGAGAGCAGATTGTGTCAAGGGGTCCACACCACTACTACCTACAAGGCCCCACCCACAAGCAATGATCCAGGGGCTCCTGGAATCCTAAAAACTGTTAAAAGCTTAATATGTGAAAAGGAGACATATGCACTACTATTTGTAATACTTTAAACAATTAAAAAAAAAAGCTAGGAAAAAAAAAGCTTAATGTGTGAAAGGTGAGCAACAGGCTTACATATTTAATGAGAACTTTATTCCAGGGAGCTTCAAAATATAACAGAATCACTATTTATGGATTCTGCTACTACTGTCTGCTCATGCTGGAGGCCAATGGGCAGCTTTTGTGCCTCACAGGGGTCCAGACAGGGTGGGGTTGTTTCCCAATTTTCAGGGCTGAAAAAATTATTCCAGAATTCTAATTCTACCAAAACACTGCTCCTTTCCTGAACCTACTGGAGGTGGAGACAGCAAGGAAGCTCCTAATCTTTAAATCTCTTAGCACAATTCTTGGGTTGGAATGAAAATAGCATGGGGAGGGACTGACTGGAGGTGAAGGAAGAGTTAGGCAAGGTGATAACATATATATATATAAATATAATATGTATAATTATATATAATAGCAATATAAAAATATTTCTTCCAATTAATTTCCTTTGAATGTGCACAAATTCATGCACTGGGCCACTAGTTTATAAGTAGATAGCCATGCTTTAAGATTGAAATTCTCAAAAATCTACCTATTTATATCAATGGACAATTTGGGATAAAAAAGACAGTAAAACTTGGATGGATAAAACACAATACAAAAGCTGCTGTAGTAAATACAATCAATAAGAAAAAAAAGTCACAATTCAATTTTTTCCCCTCTTCTACACATTCCTCCAACTACATAGCTTTCTAACTACCAGATTCCTGCCCTTAGGAGTATATATTTTGTGATGCAAATTATCTGTACTCTTTAGGATGGATTTCAAATATATTATTTTACTTATTTTTCCAAAGATCTTTTTCTAAGATCATAACTACAGTGTTTATTAAACTTCATTAGTTAGCTGTATACAGGCATATCTTGGAGATACTGCACGTTCAGTTCAGTTTATTTGAAATAAAGTGAACCATAATATTTTTGCTGCTGGAGGGTCTAGCCTTGACTGTAAAAAACCCAACATCTATGAAATGTAATAAAGCAAAGTGTAATAAAACAAAGTACACCCATTTCTCCATCTCTTTCTACTTAGATTCTGATCATCTTGAGGCCATGGTTATTCTATTGCCATAGAAATCCTTCATCAATTACTGTGCCTGACTTAGAGAAAGCACTCAATATTTGTGGAGTAAAACAGAGTCTGTAATACATTGAAGAACAGAACAGGGATCTCTTTCTAAAAAGAACTAATACAATCATCATTGGTATGCTCTGTGATTGCTGGCCCAATAGCTCCCCCTGCCCTTCTTCTTAGTAACAGAACACTCATTTTATTGGGAAGTATGTATCAGGCTAAAAACTCCACTTTCCAGAGTGCTGTGAAACTGGAAGAAGCCATTCAACAGTTCTGGCCAATGAGATGTAGGGAGACCTTACTGGGAAGGGCTTTGAAGGAAGCTATGTATTCTGGATAGAAAAGATACAAGATTCAGCTGTCAGAGCTGGTGGTCCTTTATTCCTCCTCCTTTCCCCTTCTTGTTTGCAACAGTGAATGGTAGAGCCATCTTAAGGTTATGAGGACAACATGAACACACACTAAGATTAGCAGAGCTGTATGCCTGACAACATTTCTAAGGTTCTGCTCCAGCTTCTGAATTTCTGTTAAGTGAGAAAAAGAAATACACTCTTTGGTTCTCACTATAGCTCATTTTTGTTGTTTACAGCAGAATGCAGCTCTTGGCTTTTAAAGAATTCCTTGAAAGATGATAAAGTTGGTGAATCTGAGTTTAGTACTTTTCCCCATTCTATAAGAGTATGTAAGTCCCCATTCTTAAAAGTAAAGCAGAAATGGCAAAATACAGGGGAAGAAAGACAGTATCATCACCTGTCAAGAAAGAAAACCCTTATAACTATACCCTAGACCTCATTTCTATTCACCACCCTTTTCTGGTGGCTAATGCAAATCATTAAACTCAAATAATGCTCACCCAATGAGTATCACTCCCAATCTCATTTCCATCACAATTGCTGGGGTGTAATAATAAGGTATATACTAACATTTCCAAAACCAGGTTATTTTGAAAATATGTTCTGGAAATTTTAGTATATGTTAAACCTAGAATTCTGTCATCAGATAAGTTTAGGAAATAAGTTAGAGTTATATAGTATTCATTACTCAGGCCTTCTCAGAACTTTACCACTGTGAATATCCAAAGGAAAGGTTTACTAGGAGTCTTTCTCAAGACCTCCTTTTCTTCCCAAAGCCATTGGAGGAACTAGTATTTCACAAAAATGCTTTGAGAAACAGAGGTAAAAATGGCACATGCTCCCAAATATGTGGGTACTGTACCCCAAGGGGCAGATTTTTGCTCTGTCCTTTATGGGTCTCTCATGTTAAACATAAAGATGTTTATTCAGACTTTCCTTGCAATATACAAATGTAAATATACAAGGATCTCTGACTGCTCTGGAACAATGAACTGAAGCAAGACATTTTTATTCTCCTTAGGTACAAGTTCAGGCCATACCCATTTAAGTGGGGTTCCTAAAAGGAAATGAACAAGAATCTTCCGGGAAAGTCCTCAAGCAGGAGAAAAGGAGGACTAAGTCACATGAAACATTAAGCTTATAAGTTACTATATTATTACAAATTATGTAACAGAACCCTAGGAGTGTCACATACTAATATCTCTAACACAACTTAACTAGAACCCATTTTTAGAGATGTTCAGTATACACTTTATGATTAACCACAGTAATTGAAATGGAAGTGAGACTGGGAATAATCCTCATTAGATGAACATTATTTGTAGTTAAGGACTAGCGATTGCTGAGATTAGAATGGAACCAATTTCAATGACATTCCTTGGGGCATTAGAGAGTGTCCATGATTTAAATGAGTTCTCAAGGGAGCTGAACTAGCCAGATGCCAGTAGAAAGGAAAGGTTTCCTCATAGACAAGCGGAGCTGCAGACTGATTTTTAGATGCAGTTCCCTGTGAAGATGGTCTGCAAATGACCTATACTTATCAAACCCTCAACAGGCTGTGGTGGTGAAGTCACACAAGCCTCAGCTCTAAAAATGAAAATCATGCCGGGTCCGGTTTGGCTCAGTGGATAGAGCGTCAGCCTGCACGGACTGAAAGATCTCGGGTTCGATCCCAATCAAGGGCATGTACCTTGGTTGCGGGTACATCCCCAGTAGGGGGTGTGCAAGAGGCAGCTGATCGATGATTCTCTCGCATCGATGTTTCTAACTCTCTATCCCTCTCTCTTCCTCTCTGTGAAAAATCAATAAAAACATATTAAAAAAATAAAATAAAAATTAAAATCATGCACTTTAAACCTCTTAAGAGCTTAAGAAGAGATGAAGCTCCTAAATCCACAGCCCATGAAGCATACACTAATATCTGTGTGAAGCCCCTGACAGGCCTGCTTAAGAGGATTATTAATGTCCCATCAATAGAAGCCCAAATAGGAGGCTGAGAGAACTTAGAAAACATCAGAGATTACTTTAATTTTAGCACACAACTGGGTACTGATTTTAAGGCTTAAAAAGCCATTTGTGGAACGATCAGGCAGCAGTTTCAATTTATTAGATTATTTTACTTTATTAGTACCCAGTTATATAGAGCTTGCTATGTGCTGGGCACTGTGATAAGTACTTTGCAATGAGACACTAATTTAATCCTTTTAATAGCTCCACTCTTAGGGTTGTGTCCTCATCCACATTTTACGGATGAGGACACTGAGGCACATAAAGGTCATAGGGCTAGTTTCTATAACCAAGAAACTACAGTAGCTCCTCTAAGAAGCCCCTGACCTTCTAGCTGTACTGTCACCTGTGTCCCCACTGCATCCTGTACAACTGTCTATGGCACTTAATGTCCTAATGCTGCCCTTCCAAGGCTTCCCATTGGACCTTGAAGTCCTTGAGGCCAGAATCCCATCTTATTCATTCATCCCTGTCTCCTTATGCTCAGTGTTCAAAGCATATTTTCAAAATGGATTTAAAAAAAAAAGTGCAGCTCCATATCTCTTATCTATAACCCTTGGGGCTCCATGTGTCTTAAAATTCAGAATATTTTGGATTTTAGAAAGTTCACACACGATGTGACCACTGGCGGGATCTGGGATAGCAATCCCTAGTAAAATATGTGAACAATTCTACAGTTAAGCTTATGGATAGTAAAATTAACTAAATAAAGATTATACTAATAAATATTGATAAAGACTAGAGATAGCTGCATGAGAATTTAGGTGAGAGTTTACCAACAAGTGTGCTATGAAGAAAAGAAGCACTTTGGGAGTTTTGGAATCACAGATAAGGGAATGTGAGTTGCAATTTCTATGAAGGCCTCTAACACAGTTGTGCAGATTACAGCACTGTCTTACTGTGAAAAAAAAAAAAATGCTCCATTCATTCAGTTATTACGTACTGATGACCATGCTGAGAACTTGGAGGACCCGTGGTGGAGACCTGGATCCATAATGGGCTCTTGGCACCTGAGTGCCAACTCAGAGAGATGAGAGAGATGTGCAGACTAAAGAATGTAGCCCTGGACTAAGTCTTAGGAGAAAGGGTTCAGAGGGAGTTCCACTCCCTTCCAGCCAGTTATTTTGGGGAGAGCACATGATCAACTTGGCAGACATCCACAGGCTAGGAAAGGTGTCATGAAAAATAGTTTCATGCTTATACGCTGGGTTATATGGCATTTCTCAACGTTACCCAGTCAAAAAACCCTCTTTCCTTTCACTTTTTTAAATGAAGTGTCTTAACTGTTGTCCCAAACTATGTGCTCCTCAAGGGCAGTAACCATGCTGTAACAAACAAACATAAATGTAGAAGCTTAAAACAACACATTTATCTTATACTTCTGGTGGCCAGAAGTCCAGAATGTGACTCATTGGGCTAAAATCAAGGTGTCAGCAGGGCTGCACTCCTTCTGGAGACTCTAGGGGAGAATCTGTTTCTTTGCCTTTTCCAGTTTCCATAGGCTGCCCACACTCCTTGGTTCATGGCCCCTTCCCCCACCTCCAAGCAAGCAATGGCCACTGAAGTCTTTCTCATGCTGCATCAGTCTGACTCTGACTCTGGTTCTCCTATCTGCCTCTTTCACTTGTAAGGAGCTTGTGATTACACCTGGCTAATCTTCCCATCTCAAAATATTAATAACATAACCACATCTGCAAAATCCCTTTGCCTTGTAAGGTAATTTGTGCAAATTTTTGGCATTAGGACCTGACATAATTGGGGGGGGAGGGGGAGGCAGTGAGGCAATATTCTATTTACAACGATATCTAAATTCCTTTTGCATCCTCAGCATCTACTGTAGTGCCAGACACATAGTAGAGGCTTAAAATGTCTCATTTATATTACTTAAATGTCTCCAACCATCAGTTCCCTCATTTTTAAACAGAGATTTAAAAAAATACCTAGTATGAACCTTACGCAAAACAATGCAAGTGAGAGTGGCCTGAAAACGATAAAGAAACCTAAATGAGATGATTATATCCCACAGACTAGCAGCAGCGGATACACACATCCATTTGTGAAATTGCTAGTCTATTCTATATAATAAAAGGCTAATATGCAAATAGACCAAACAGCGGAGCAATCACACACCCACTACAAGGGGGTAGATGCTCAATGCAGGAGCTTCCTGCTGGTGATCAGTGGAAGCCAGGCTCATGATTGGTGAGTGCAGTGGTGGTGGCTGGAGCCTCTCATGTCTCCATAGCAGCACTAAGGATGTCTGACTGATGGCATGGGCCCGCTCCCCATGCTACTGGACTTCTAGAGGATGCAGGCCGGGCTGAGGAACACCACCCCCCCTCAAGTGCACAGATTTCGTGCATTGGGCCTCTAATTTATAGTATATAAAAGGTTAATATGCCAAATGTTGCCTTGAGAGTTTGACCATGAGATTGGGAGTTTGATCACTTGTTATGATGTGCACTGACCACCAGGGGGTGGTGTGGAACATGGCGGGCGACCAGCGGCAGCAGTAGCAGGGTACTGAGGGAGCGAGGGAAGGAGGAGGTGGGGAGGTTGGGAACCTGATCGCTGGCCAGGCCTAAGGACCTTACCCATGCATGAATTTAGTGCATTGGGCCTCTTGTATATAATAAGGAAAGACAGCAGGATGCTAAGAGAATTCCATTCAACTCAATAAGTCATTATGGAAAAGAGCCAGTTGCTAGAGGATCACAACCATCTTATCATCGTGTGGCCTTGAGGTAGTCTAGTTTGACATATTACATAACTCAGTGTCCAAATCGAAGGGGGCAATGGTAATATTTACTCTGGGACAAGATACCAATCAGAACTTTTTTCAGGCAAACAGAACACATGGTCACCCCAAGTACAGCACAGTGGTGGTAAGCCTGGGCTCTGTGGCCAGATTGCCTGTACCTAAGTCCAAGGTCCACACTTAGAGGTTTGTGACTCTGGACACATTATGTAACTGCTCTCTGCCTTTGTTCCCTCATCTGCAAATGGAGTAACAGACCCTTTTGCAATGCTGATGTGAGGATCAGATGACTTGCGACACAGAGCATTCAGGATAATGCCTGCCACGTTGCAAGAGGTCAATAAGTGTTAGTGATCGTTACATGTCAAGGCCATACTCTAAATTCCCACAATTCACAGCACAGAACCTTCAGTGTTTCCCCACAATTCCAGCCAGCAGGCAAAGGGCTGGTATGGCTCAGCACCAGCAGACAGGTCTCTAAGACAACTAACAGTCTCTTCCTTGGTACCTGTTCCCTCACACTCCCGTTTCCGCGTTCCCATCCTGGTTCCTGAGCTCATTTTGGAATGCAGAGCTGTAGTGCCAGCCTGGCTTCTAACATGCCTTGTCACGAAACATAGCAAAATCCTTTGTTATTAGAACGGGAGATTAACTCCTAAAGCAGCAGTCTTTGCAGTGAGTACGCCTATGTCCATTGGAAAGAGGGGGTGGTATTTTACTTCTAATTTTAAACTGGTGCATACTAAAATTCTAATCTGCTAACAACATTTTAAAATGCCAGCTGCACAGACATGTTCATGAATAGGTTAACTCTTGTCACCTTCTGTCCCTAACAAACCCCAAGTTATATGTTGCAAGAAAAAAATGTTATAAGTAAAAAACTAAGCTGCTTTCTGCTGAATTTGGCATAAAGGTAATGATTGTACTATTTATATGAATTATAAAAACAATAGCCACAAAAATTAATTTTACTCAATGCATACTATGTGCCAGGCATTGTTATAAGCACATTGTGGGCGTTTAATCCCAAACAATGCCATGAAGCAGGTACGGTTATTATCCCCATATCACAGATGAGAGAAATGAAGCACAGAGAGGTGAAATCACTTGCCTATGGTACTGATAGGTGTAATAAGTGATGGAGGCAGGTTAACCGCAGGCAGTCTGGCCTGAGTACAAAAAACAACACTTCAAGACAAACTCCACTGCCTCTCCTGCTGGAAAGCAGGGAGACTTCCTCTGCACAGCAGGAGCCACCTGGGACACTGCTCTCCTGGAAGACAAGTCCTCGCCGTCTGTGCCAGTGCTGCGTGCTCCGTGAGGATGCCTTTACCTCCTTTGTCTCTCTGGCAAACTCCTACACATCTGCCCCCTCTGCTTCCAGCCCTCACTGCCTCACTGGGCACACGGTAGGTCCTCGAGGCACATGGTGAGATTTCTGTTTGGCAGTTATTCAATAACTGGTAAGTGTTGTTGTATTTTGAAGTACTGATGTTTACACAGTATTAGCCTTATGAAGAAATTCAAAGCAGATTTTCTTTTCAGCGTAAGCTCCCTGAGTTAATTTACTACATGGTTTTATTTATGGGATTGTGATTTGCACTTATTAAGACTACATTATGAACAATGATTCACTAAATACCTGTAGACTGTTGTTTGAGCAGGGCTGCACCTCGTAGCCTGAATAAGTTCATGCATCTCAAGCGAGGAAGCTGTTGTTTTTCCTTGACGTAGTTTACTAAAGCGGGATAGACCCCAAACCACCTGTGACCAGAGCCGTCAGACCCCCAGCCACACAGGCCACTGGAGGGGATGCTCCAGGGCAGCGCAGCCGCCTTACTTGTTAATGTTGCTGCCTTCTTTCAGTCGCTCTCCGGCGGCTCCCGTTTTAGACACTCTTTCGCTTCCAGCCAGGTCAACCAAGCTGACCTTACTGACTTTCTCTCCAGAGTTCTAGGTGTAGGGAACAAGAGAGAAACAATGCATGTGAACACAGAAACTTAATGATTTCTACATATATGTCAGCACTGTAACTGAGGGCAACCGAGCAGCCATCCACTACAGCGAGGCAAACGTCTCAAGATTTAAAACAGTCAGGGTTATCTGGACTAGCAACTTATAGGCAAAATTTAAGTTGGTGCAGTAGTGAAGCATTCTGTATGGCAGTTAGGAAGCAATCCAGAATGCATCCAGGAAGCTGGAGATTTTATGTGCCTATGAGGAAATACTAGGACACGAGAATTCTTGTGCATTCAGGCAAACTCCACTCCCTCTCCTTTTGGGAAAGTGTTTCTTTTGAGAAAGTGCTCTTTAGGCTAATTGTGTGGTTTCCTCTTTAATATCCCTTAATGACAGGGAAGTAGACTCAGTTGCTTTTAGGTGAATTTCAGTAGGGAAGAATACATATTAAAAGCTGTCTGGTGACATCATAATGCTCTTCAGGGAGTTCACACAAGAAATTCAATTTAAAAAAAAGTTACATATAGGCTGTCCTCAAAAATGTATACACACATTTGAATACATATAAAGCTTGTTTATTAAAATGCATTTTATTTTCAAAATTGTGCTATCAGTTGTTAAAGTGTGTATACATTTTTGGGGGACACCCTGTATTAAGAAAGACCTAAGAAATTAAATTATTTAAGCAAGATTGGCAGAAGAGCCAGCACAAAATTTTCAGCTGCTAAACCTAACCACAAGACCCATCACCCAAGCAGGTATTTTAAGACCTTTTACTGCCAGCAAAGGGCCTGCCCAGTTCCTTACCCCAGACTGCAAGTCATAAAGCGTCTGTGTGACAATGATGTTGAACACAGCGTGCGAGCGGCTACTTTCTTCATTCATGTTGGTAGCAGCTACTGTCCGAGACTTATTTCCCTCAGACATCAGTGACTCAATATCCTAAAGGCAAAGCACGAGGAAAACATTATTAGCAAAAACATATGACCACGGTCCTGCCCACCAGGTGTCTGCATTAATTATGGTCCTCTGACATGTTCGCCGCCACCCTTCCATAAAAACCTCCCCCTCCTTCACCGAGCACAGTCCAGTTTCCTCCTCCCTTGGACCTTTCTATTATATGAAATGTTCCCCCTTCTTTCTGACCCACAATTGTCTTCTTTCTCTGTTAATTACCAATTTTTTCCTTTGCAAGTTACTAGGGAACAAAAGAGCTAATATTTATGGGGCACTCCAGATGGGCAATAATGGTGATTATCTGACTTTATTCAAACTCTCTGGGCTTAACAACTCTAGCTATGTACGCTCACTTATTTGCCTCTGTCCTCCATCACTGTGGCTCTCCAGGGAATTTTCCTCATTCACCTTTGTAGACCTGTCTTACAACACTTGGAAACTATGGATGTTTATGCAATGTTTGATGAATGAACCTTATAAAGAAGGTATTCACAAGGACACTGAAGTTCACAGAGTGATCACTCCAACAAGTCTAGTAACCATCTGAAAAATGCTTTCATTTAAATGGCTAGAGAGTTACCTCGGGGATAAATTTTAATCATGCCGAGCAGTGACAGGATAGGCACAATACAGAGATAGCAAAACTAAGTGTAGGAATGTATACGCTCATTCACTCATTGGGTTTCTTCAGCAACAGGTAGCAGTTTGGTAATGAGATTTCCAAGGCAATGACAATAAAACAAAGGTACAACATCAAGTCAGGATGTAAGAAGGCATAAAAATCAAGAAGTAGGAAAATAGAGAGAGGACTGATTCCGAAAAACAGAAGAAACAGAAGAGTGAAAAGTAATGGGAACTAAGGCAGGGGACCCTGTCAAAGAGTTAAATACCAAATACTCTTAATATTTGTCCTGATGGACATCACTGGCAACATTAAGTAGAACAGTGTCAATACAGTGGTATTAGCAAAAATATTAAGAAGCTCAAAACGCTGGGCCTCTGAGCCGTACTGTGATGCCTTCACCACAAAGCAGGCTGAGGAGTAAGATGAAAGGCCCTTTTTTCTGTTTGGGATGTGTTAATACTGGGTTTTGGAGACCATGAATGATATCAATATGCTCTAAGACATTCACATAAAAATCAACATCATGTACATACTTCAATTTACTATCAGTTATTTAATGACATTTTAAAACAAAAACACTTACCTCAAAACTAGTGACAGCCAGTTGGGATAAACCATCTACATACGGACCCAAAACTTTATGCTCTCGAACTTTAAGAGACTGTCTACTCCTTCAGGAGAAAGAAAAAAAAAAAAAAAAAAGGAATGAATGGACAAAACTTGGAGGCTTTTCTTTCTTTTTAAGTATTCATAAACCAAGATGGCAGTTTCAAAATAATTTTTTAATAATAAAAAAATGTCCTAAAAGCTACTTTATTTAGACCAGCAAGATAGCATTCTTTTTTAGAAATGTCTTTTATACTCTGACTTCTATTTAAAGTAACTTACTATTTTAAAATTTCTATCTCCTCTTCCAAACTAAACAGCTAGCACACAGAATACTAGGTTAGGCCAACTTGCTTTAGTAGATGAACTTCACAGGAGGAAAAATAAGACAAAGCGAAGAACATTCTAGAACTGAATTTAACAACTCAAGGCTACTTTAGAAATAAGCACATTCTCAGTAAATATCTTAATATTTGTACCACACAGTAAACAATACTGAAGTGTTTTGTTTTATTTTTAATTTTTGCTTCCAAGTCTGTATTGATTTATAATGCTTTGATGCTGACAATTTCATACAGAAAGTGATATTACAGTAGTTGTTTGCAGTTACTGATATTGATCCTGTCTTTAGAATTGCCTCTGTTGGTGAAGATTTTAGGGCTCTTTTAAATTTTAAATGGCAAACCTGGTTTGGGACCCATTTGAACAGTATATCAACAGGTAATTGAGATGAAAGCAAAGCGATACAGATTATGACTAGACTGTATATGTCACCTTTTTCATGGCATCAGGTATTAATCATCTTTCAAATCAAGAGTCAGCGCTTGGCATCACTCCAATGTGGGGAAAAAGGACCTAAGAATCACTGATGTTTCCCCAAATCTACTAAGAACATTTCAGTTTTCCCACTTTAATCTTACAACCCTACAAAACAGGTGTTACTGATTTAAATGATGGCAAATTCAATGTGACAATGAGCAATTCTTCTATACTCTAAACAGGGACAGACCAATCGCACACATTTACAAGGGTGACTCTGATGCACACAGACCCAGAACTCAGCTCACTCTGCTTGCACAACCAGAGAATCTTTAATGCTACTCATGAGCAAGAAAAAGTCAAGTTAGCACAATATCAAGTGCCTATGATGGCGCCTGATATCTGGAATTCTTGAACACTGCTGTTGGGAATGGGAATGGGAACTGGGACAATCACTTTGGAAAACAGTCCAATAGTACAAAAAAAAAGTTAAAGATTCAGAATCTTTGACCTACAATTCCACCTCTAGATGTATTCCTTAAAAACTCATGCATTAGTACACAAGGAGAACTGAACAAGAATGCTCAGAGCAGCACTGCAATGGTTAAAAGTGACAACTACACAAATGACAGGAGATGGGATAAATAAATTATGGTATAATCATACAACAGGATACTAAAGAGTAGTAAAAAAGTAATGCCTCATTACTTAATAATCAGAATGAATGGATAATTAAGTCTCCAAAGGACATGTATAACTATGATGTCACTTACACAAAGTTAAAAACTATGCAAAAGTATGCATTAATTTTAAAGAAGAGGAAGATAAGAAGGGGTAGAGAATAGAATGGGATCCAAGAGAACATATAGGAGGATTCAAAAATATTGGTCATGTTCTATTTATTAAAGACCATGGTGAGTAGGACAGACTTTGGTTTTATTATTTTTATATCTTACATGTGTTATAAACGTTCTTCCATTTGCATTAAATAGTTCATAAAAATTTCCTATGACTGGGTTATTCCTTATTACCCATAATTTTGATCTTATATCTTTGATTATACCCTTATTAATACAGCTGCTAAAAACACCTAAAATATTTTTTAATAACAAGAGAAAGTGTTCATTATGTTACATAGAAAATTCAGAATATTGAACTATATTTAGAGAATGACTTCAACACACACACACACACACACAATAAATTTGAAATACCGAATCAAAATGCACCAAAGTATAAACAGTGGTTATTTTTGAGTGGTGGGATTATAGGTCATTTCTATTTCTTCTTACATTTTGCCTATTTTCTAAATTTTATATATAAATATATATTCCTTAAATCAGTTAAAAAATTTTTAATTAAAGTCAATGGCCCTCTCCTTCTATGAATCAAACTCATCTTGTTTTTATCACCTAGTTTTTAAAAAATACAGATGCATGGGTTTTCCCCTATGTCTACTGAATCCTAGCCTATGTGGCTAGTGTGTCCTTAAAAGCCCACCCCATGATCCCAATGCATAGCCTGGGAAGAAAATGCTTGCTTGGGCTGGGTGATTTCAATCCTTCAACTACTTTATCTCCAATTTAGAGGTGCTGCTTTCCAACGTAAATGAGAGGACCAATGTGTCTTTTTTTTAAAAATCCTCACCTGAGGACATTTTCATTGACTTTTAGAGAGAGAAGGGAGGAAAGTAGGAAGAGAGAAGAGAGAGAGAGAGAGAGAGAGAGAGAGAGAGAGAGAGAGAGAGAGAGAGAGAGAGAGAGAGAGAACAAGCTTAATTTCACCCACTAACTTACCCTTTGGGGTCTAAAAGATCTCGAACTTTCTCATTATAAATTTCCATATAGGATACTTCCACTTTAAAGGTCTGTGACTCATTTTGCTCCAGAGAGATCCTTTTAAATAAAGCACAGCAGAGCCTTGGGATGAGGCCCAGCTGTTCAGCATTGCCCATCATAGAGAAGGATTTTCCTGAGCCTGGAGAAGAGCAAGCAGAAAGAAAAGGAGGATAAACAAGGAAGCAAAATGTAATGATTCCACCATGTAAGTCTTCTACATATATCAGCCAAGGTCACACAGTGAAAGAGGCAAGTCGGGCTTGACCCCCAAGCCCAACTCTCAAACAATAAGGCTACTATTCTTTCTTTTTCTAAAAATGTTCTTTATTGTTGAAAGTATTACAGATGTCCCCTTTCTCTCCCCCCCATTGACCCCCGGCACCCTGCTCCCCAGACCAAGGCTACTCTTTTTTCTATTACACTCATGGCCTCTAGTTTCACTCTCATTGTGAGATCCAGAGGGCACCTCATTTACAGGTGGAAAACACAAATATAGCCACTATAAATATCAACTACATAGTATCAAATAACATTAACAGTATTTACCCCAAACTATTTTGTTTGTGAAAGTGCTCTGATATACAGTCTCTAATCTGAGTCTCCTAGTTGTCCTGCAATGTAACCAGAGGCAGTATTGTTATGATTGATTGATTGATTCTAACTTTATAGTTGAAATCATAGTGGCTCAGAGAATTCATGGCTGAGACACTAGTATGTTTTTGCTTTACTTGTTTCAACCAAATGTGCCATGAGCGTAGGTGTAGTAATCCATCATCATTTCTGTATCCCAGTGACAGTCCTCGGTATAGGATGATACCAAGAGTTTTTAAAAATAGTTTTTACTATAACATTTGTACTGAGAAAATGGTAATTATTTTTCTAGTTCAAACACAGGTTAAAGCTATAATTTAGGAAAATAACATTTAATAGTTTGAAACTAGGTTTGCTCATTAACACTAAAATTACTCAATTACTGAAACTGTTGAATTGTCAAAAAGAGGGTTCCTTTTGATTACCTAATTCCTAATTCAGTTAAACCACAAAGGCAGAAGCATTTTTTTCTGTTGCTTCCCAAGGTGTTTCTATTTCTATGTTTTAAGAAATACACATGTAATATAATTGACTGAAAGTAAAAGCAAGGACTTACCTGTCTGTCCATATGCAAAAATACAAGCGTTATACCCCTGAAAGGCTTTTTCAAGAATTCCTTCCCCAAGGCACTTGAAAACCACCTCTTGACCTACAAAAGAAAAAAAAGATGTTTCTTGACATATTTGTATTAATATCTTAGTCAGTTACCAGCATTCTCTAACTTCAAAAAGATGTTAAAAGTGAATTACTGTGTGCCTTCTATGTGTAGGACCAAGTATTATTAGCTCAATGAATGAAATTTTATTTATTTTTCTTAACTATAGCTCAGTACCTGGATGGATTTATAATTCTACCTACTGCTTCCTTCTAAGGCATTTCTCTAGGCCTGTGGTTGGCAAATTGCAGCTCATGAGCCACATGCAGCTCTTTGGCCCCCTGAGTGTGGCTCTTCCACAAAATACCATGGCCTGGGTGAGTCTATTTTGAAGAAGTGGTGTTAGAAGAAGTTTAAGTTTAAAAAATTTGGCTCTCAAAAGAAATTTCAATCATTATACTGTTGATATTTGGCTCTGTTGACTAATGAGTTTGCCAACCACTGCTCTAGGCATTAAAATTTCCTTCCCATTATTAGTAGGCCATATGGAAGCATCATTTAAACTTGTTTCATTTCTTCTAATGAGTTAGCATTAAAATGTCATGAATTCTCTCATGTCCACATCTGGATTCTGAACTAGATTCTCAAGATGAGGAACCACGCCATATATGTTTTGGTTTATGCATGTACCTCTGCACCTAGCATGGGGTTAAGTACCTGCCAGGTGCTTCGAAGCTGTTTATTGCTGGTGGAGGTGATGAGCTGAGCAGAAACACCTCTCACCTCTGTTCTCATAGGGGTTCAAGGACAAGCTCTCTTTGGTGAGGCTGTCTACAGCTTACTGCAGCTCTTGGGGGAGTTGTCATTTAGTATAAATATTACAATAGCATCTGTAGCATCCAGCTGAAGAGTAACAGTCTGAAAATATTTTTAAACACTTAAGGTTTCTTTTGCTACTCTTTGGAATTGGTGACATTCATTCCACCATGATTAAGAGGATGAAAATGATGCTCTCCTTCTGCCATGCTCTTACAGTCCTCAGAACATCCACTATTACAGCCTTTGCAGAAACTACTGGTTTAAGTACCACTTGCCTCCAATGGCATGGTACCCCTGATTGATGTCAGAGACTATAATCTGTTTGTCTTTGTAATTCTGGTGCCTAGTACAAAATGTATAATTAATATTTATTGAAAGAATGAGTCTATTTAACCTTTTTATCCTACATAATTTCTTTCACATTTGAAAATAATGCAACAAAATAAAAGCTTTTGGGCCCTAGTAGGTTTGGCTCAGCGAACAGAGTTTTGGACTGCGGACCGAAGGGTCTTGGATTTAATTCCAGCCAAGGGCACATAGCTTGGTCGCAGGCTCCTCCCTGGCCAGGCCCTGATAGGGGCACATGCAGGAGGCATCCAATCGATGTGACTCTCTCACATTGATTTTTCCCACTCTCCCTAAAAATCAATGGAAAAATATCCTCAAATGAGGATTAACAAACAAAAAAATAATCAATCAATCAATCATCAATCAATAAATGGATGGCTTTTGGGTATATGTTCTTCTTTTATGCAAAGTTGGATCTGATTTTAGCAGTCCCTGTTATACTATGACATATGTTGATTGCAGAAGCAAATTCTTAAAATGTGTAAACGTGAAACAAAATATAATATTTTCAACCCTTAGACTGACAAAAACTAAAATTTTGACAAAATGAGCTATAGCTGGGTTGAGGAAATAGGTATTTTCACAAGCTGTTGTAAGAATCAACAAATGCAGCCATTGTGAAGGAAAACCTAAGAGCACCTATGAAAGGAATCTTCCCTCATTGTCTGACTCACTGTGAGACATCTAGCCTAGAGACACAAGGGACTCTTGTAAAGGATGCTCATGGCAGCATTATTTATTCTACTAAAAGTTGGAATCAAGTGAAATGCCCTTTTGTAAGGGAGTGGATAAAGTGTGACTATTTTATATGATGTAATATTACAAGTGATGTAAAAACAAGCAGATAAACAATGCTAGAATTAAAAACCATCGTTGAATAAAATAAGTCATGTTAAGACTGTAGTAAAAGCTTATATCAAATAGTGTGTGTGTGTGTGTGTGTGTGAGAGAGAGAGAGAGAGAGAGAGAGAAAGAGAGAGAGAGAGAGAAATCTATGAATACTAAAGTAAAAAAAATGAATTGGAAGAAAATTTACCAAATTTGTATACTAAATTTATATAATCTTACTTCACTATTTCTGACTTCTAACAACCTAGCACAGAGGTTGGTACCTAAGAGGTATTCAAAATACGCTGGTGGAATATGTGGACTTTTTTTTTATGTACAATTATAAGAGGCTTTGCTAAACACACCATTCATTGAGAAGACTACCTAAAGAATAAGGTATTGTCAAAATTACTATCTACTAAACACTCTTTCAAAACTGCTTTTATGTTAAAGCCTGTGCTTACGAAGAAAATATTTGACCCACCCTGTTGCTGACTTTTTATACACATCAATATTTTCCCCCGTACATTTTCTCAAAGGACCTTCCTTATTCCATAGGCATTCCCAAGGTCCATGCCAAGAGGCTGGCCTTACATCTAGAGCTGAGCGCTGTGGTGTAGAAGACTGGGGATTAAACACAGGCTTGTGAGAACTGAACGTGGTCCTCACAGGTGCCACCTGAAGGCATTCTAAAAGAACCACTCTCTTGGCACACGGAGATGACTGGAGCAATCCCTTTTGATCATCCACAGTGATTAACCAGTTCCCAGGAAGAGTGGGGTGAGGGTAGAGACAAGATGCTTTAGATTTGGATAGCCAAATATCCTGACAATGCTCATGACTTCAATTCTTATTTTTATGTATTTATTTATTTCTAAGACAGTAAGTTATTTTTGAAAAAATTTAAAATGTTTATTGTTTGAAGTATTATGTATGTCTCCTTTCCACCCATTGACCACTCCCTGGCAATAAGGTAAAGCCCTTACCACAGTGCCTGGCCATTGTAAGTCAGATTATATTTTAGTTAATATCTATTATTAATATCACCTCCTAAATCTTTCATCTACTATAATTAATTCCGAGATAGAAAGGAGGTGATTATCTCATTTTCCTTAAAAAGTTGCCCCATCTTTGCAACAATTTTTTGAGGTAATCTAATTTCAAAGATAAAAGATGCCTATTTTTGGAAAAAATTTAAAAGAATCATTTATTATCACTTATTGTTATTTCTCTAGATGCCTTAGAGGTTCCAATTTTAAAATTCCACTGAGAAAAAAAGGAGTGTGTATGTGAACAAGTGTGTATAGTGTGTGTGTACGCGCACGTATATGCGTTGGGTGTATTATGTGAGGGTTATGTGTGTGTGTTTTGGGTCAGGATGAGGAGAGGAATAAGGAACAGTACCATTACTTGCCAACCCATATTGTTCAGTGCAGGAAAAATATTTGTTATTCTTTTATAATATTAGCATATCCAGAAAGGTATAGGGGGAAAACAACCTAAGACCATATCAATAAAACTGTGAATAGAAACATATCCTTATAAAGTTTCCCTTCATTTTCTCTTCTGGTGACCTTTCAGCTGTATGAATCCCTGGCTGGGGTTATACTTCATCAAATGTTTTGGTTTGGGGACTTTCAGGGTACTGCCGGTACAATAAGAGACAACTAGGAAAGACCAGGCTGCCAACCAAGCCTGAACAGGCACCGTAGAGTCTTTATACAGCCTCTGGTGGTCCGTAACAGGCCAGCTCGCCACGAAATACAAACGGTGGCTACACTTCACTCGGTGATAGAGAGAAAATATTAAATCTCAAAGTAGACCCTTATAGGGTCTGGGTTGTTCAAAAGACTGAAGGTTTTTTGCTTTGTTCATTTCTATTTTTTAAACACAGCAGTCCCCTTTTTTATCATAGGAAAAAAAAAAACACTTGCCGACAGCTTTAAGAAGCCAAGTTCAGATAAGAAAAGAGTATTTATACTGGATGGTGGGAATCAAGAAATCCACAAAAGATGCACTATCCACACCCTAAATGTTTCCCGACTACACTTAAACAGAATGAAGTGCTGTTTGTCTAGGGAACTCAGACCAGCCCATAAGGGAAAGTTCAGAAGCCCTGTGGGAAGGAGGATGGAGGAATACCCTTCTATCCTGGAGAAGCCAAGTAAAGCCTTGGGGCTTTTCAGCTGGACAGATGCCAGAGCGGAGGTGGCCACTCTGCAGAAGTCAGCTCCAGAGGCCTGTGCAGGGAGTCACAGAACAAACCTGACTTCGCTTGTTAGTAACCATGACCAAGATGCCAATTTTCACTGTGGGACTTATGATTAGACCTCCTATAACCGTGTGGACAAGTCTTAAAACACAGACATGCCCACAGCAACCCATAACACAATGTCAGAACAGCAGAGAGGCTCCTGTGTTGAATTGCTGCAAGCAAAGTTACCGACTGACCCACCCAGCCCTGAGTCACATGTGATATAGGATCTTTGAAAAACTAGCCCCGAGTCTCCACATGATGCATAACTTGCCCTACTGGGAATAGTAGCAATGGAATCAAAGTTACTGGCATACGCTTCAGGAGCTCAGTAACCAAAGCAATTCCCTCTCCATAGCAGGGCCCTGACAGTAAAGCACAGAAGAAATTAGGGATGGGAGGGAAAATGCACCTATCATTCATATGTCTCTCACCTCTGGCTACCGAAGAGGCACAAGATAAAACAGTGGGCTATGTTCTAAGATATGGCAGGAAAAAAATGGGAGGTCATACCCTGTTTCACTTGCAATTTGTGTTAAGCAAGGCAGCCTCATGAAGATATGGCTGAATAAAACACTAGGTGTGGCAATATCAGGCTGGACATAACACATGCACAAAATAGTTCTCCTTTTCCTAGAGCAGCTGCACAAAGAGCACTCAAGATTTTAACAGGATCAATCATTTTATCAAGTTTAACACACTGTCTGTCTCTCATCGGAGTTAGTGTAGAAAAAAAAAAAAAGGTTAAGCTCTATATTTGTGATTTGGAATTCTTAGGCCTTCTCATTTGTGAGGGTGTTTTTCC